GCGCGATAGGCGGCTCGGCCACAGCCTCCCTGTACACGTTCTCTTCCGTGTCGGCCTCCGCCATCTGTCGGACGATATAGAGAACAGCAGTAAGCACATGAAGATTTAATTTCTTATTATAATAATAATATAATATGCCATTTAGCAGACGCTCTTATCCAGAGCGACTTACAAATATTTGACACCTTAATGAAAACAGACTACTAATAAAGTACGGTGTAATAAACGTTTAAAAAGGACGTTTCACCCATGGGGGAAACTGTTTGAGTTGAGCACAGTGGCTTGCTGCTTCATGATCAATCATTCAAATATCAAATAAATAAGAAACACAACTATTAATCCATTATCAAAGAATATATCAATGTTGATAATGAGATTGCATGAAACGTTTTGACTTCTGAAACAGTTTTACCAATATGACCACCATTTTAATATAGTGACCATCTATCTACAATGGCTGACAATACTTCGAACTTGAACATATACATATTTATGAAAGCAATCATTTAAATCAATGTCGTATAACATACGAGAGAGCGAATCAATACATGCAAACATGGAATACACTCACTATTATTATGTGGTCAGGATCGTAGTCGTTCGATCGCACTTCAGGGATATTATATTGTCATGTGAATGAATAAAACTGCGTATTCTTTCTTGTAACCCCCGTCGCATACTACTGTACTTGCGCTTCTCCTTTCCAGTGTTAAGGCGCAGATCCCAAATTAAAACTTTCATAAGGGAAACGAAACTGCGCTGTGTGCTTACTTCCTCGTATTAACCCTAGCCATGTTTGTCTTAAAGCTACAGAGCATATTTAGTTTCAAGTTGTATTAGTTGTATGTACGGGATACGCATGCTACACATCGTCCTACGAAATGCAGGTTCCTTCTCGAAAAAGCAACGTGCGTGCATTGACCGTGCTTGTGTGTTGTAAAGGAAATATGACCCTTGAAATTGACAGTTGATTTTATTTGCAATGGGGGGTGACTTCAAGAAACTCTGAGGAAAATGTCATATAAGTCTACTAAGTAAAACATGTTATCATCTTATTTTCGTGCGATGGCTGAAAGCATCCCAAATGGCACCCTATTCCCTATATAGTGCATTATTTCTGACCAAGGCGCATAGTGCTCTCTTCAGAAATAGTGCACTATATAGGGAAAAGGGTGCCATTTGGAACCATTTGGAACGCACAATAAACGCAACCAATAAGTACAGTATTGTATTACTGTTTAGAAAATACAGTGTAGAATGCATCACTAAAAACTAAAATATATACTATATCAAGATTTATTTTGATTTAAATGATGAACAAAAAAGGTTTCTAAAAATGTCACAAAATAAAACTTTGTACAACATTTGTACAGTTTCAACATGAAGTAAATACAAAGCCAATGAACAAACTGAGTCTGATCAATATGTAAAGAAATGACACTCATAAAGGCTTGGTCCTCATTTTGACTATGGCAGTGTCTCCTTCTATTCCTAGGGGACAAGGGCCCGTATTCATAAAGCGTCTCAGAGTGCTGATCTAGGATCAGTTCCCCCGTCCATTCATAGTGATCTGAAAGGAAAAACGGATCCTAGATCAGCACTCCTACTCTGAGACACTATGCCTATAAGCCCAATGGGTGCCCTTCATCAGTTGAGTCAGGTGTGTCAGTCCAGGGCTAGAGAAAAGAGGTGCACCTCCCAGGGTCCCCATCAGGAACGGATTGAAGAAAACACTGCACTATGGAACAATGAAAGCGTTTTATCAAAGATTATTGTGGGATTTCTCAATTCATCATCACTTTTGACACGCCCACATAACTAAAAGGGGCCAATCAGCAACCTGTTTCCCTAGTCACACACGATGCCGAAAGAGCAGTGATAGGCTGAACAAAAAAAAGTTTAACTATGCATATTAGTGTCTCTCGCTCTGGTAAAATTATTATTAATTTTTTAATCTTGCCTCAAACCACAAGTACAACCACTGTTCACACAAACATAAATAGGCTTCATCCATCCCCATGTCCGCTCCACATCATGATCACTCAAACACTAACCTTTCCTTACAAGCACCCTACTCTTCAAACCCACCCTACCCACTCTGGAAGGCAACTCCATCCCCTCCATATAAGAGCCACGCTTTTTATTTTTATTTTAACCCACCCCACCCTTTCGCTCTCCCTCTCTATCCAACCCCTCTGCACGGATAGCTTGGTAACCTTAGCGCTAAGCCACCCACATCCCTCCCCCCAAAAAATATATATTATTGTCCGATAGCATTCTTCCTCATCATCTCCTCGTCTTGAACGGAGAGCTCGGTGAGTTTGCGGCCCAGCCTCTCGTGTAGGTCCAGGTACTTGGCCACACAGCGGTCCAGACACACCGCCTCCCCTTTAGACAGCTCCGCCTCCTTGTAGTGGGGGGGCACGCACTTCCTGTGGCACGCGTTGGTCATCCTGCGAGGAGGAAGAAAGAGGGCGTTAAAGACGTTGTAGGTTACGATAAAGATGAGGGTTGGTTATCAACTGTACTGCAGGGGGTGGAACGTATTTGGGTGTGCGAGACTTGACATCAGAAGAGTTACAGGGTGTGTTAAGTGGTGGTGTCGCATCCCTTCAGACTGTTAGCCTGATGTAGGAATAAATATATTTAAATAGTGGAGTATGGTAGTTATAATTATCATAATGGTTATTTGTATTATTTTTTGTTGTTGTTGAGAGTGTAGTATTAGATGGTAGGGTATTTGTTTTATTTTCCATTTTTTAAAGCAAAGTATAAGTCGCTCTGGATAAGAGCGTCTGCTAAATGGTCCTCTGTGGTCCTCTGTAGCTCAGCTGGTAGAGCACAGCGCTTGTAACGCCAAGGTAGTGGGTTCGATCCCCGGGACCACCCATACACAAAAATGTATGCACGCATGACTGTAAGTCGCTTTGGATAAAAGCGTCTGCTAAATGGCATATTATTATTATTATTAAATGACTAAAATGTAAAATGTATAAGGGAGTTATACTCCAGTCTAGTAGGTGGCGGTAATGCAACATTTATTGGATGCCAACCGCCGTTAAACCTCATCGAAGAAGAAGTAAAGATGAGGGTCGTATCTCAAGTGTCTTTTCCAGGAGGCAAGAAAGGAGTACTGAGAAAGGTCAGGACAGCATTGGGAGGAGATCTCCTCCAGTGCTATCCTTTCTTCCCTCTGATGTTTTGAGAACAAGGAGAGGAGACAGGATGCGAGGAATCAAAACCGCCATGAATGTGCAAGTTCATAGAACAGTTCATTCTGATTATGTTATGAAAAGTCATTCTGATTATGTTATGTAAAGTCAATGTGTGCACTCCTAGCTGGCAACATAGCTAGCTAGCTAAATCAGTCCCATTTAAATGAGCTCACAATAATATTACTTTGCTAGCTAACTAATGATATTCACATTGTTTTTGCTTATGCATGTACAGCGATGTAGTCGAGTGTGCGTTATAAACGCGTACTCTTCTGAATCGATTGATTTGGTCTGACGGTCAGTAGCACGACAGCTAGCTAGCGCTATAAAGCTAGCTAGCTATCTAGCTAGTCTGAGAAGGTTTCTAACGTGATGCTTTTATCTGACCACCATAGCAAAAACTAAACACGACAGTCAAAGTTAAGGTAATATGGCTGGTTAGCTACATGCAAATGCTATTAGCGTGTTCCCCTGTAATTAGCACATTATAGCATTTCAGTAGAGAAATTACATTAACAAGCTAGCTAACGTTCCATTGCTAGCTAGCTAGCCAGTCAGTCTTACCGATTGTACATATCAGCCATCATTTCCACTTCTAGTTCCGCCGCCAGTTGCTGTGCTTTCTCTGGGTCCATGTCTGCGTTGTGCCCACTCCAGACCTACTCTCTCCAAAATCTAACCGTCCAAACGACCACTCTCAGCGGCCAACAAACACACCCGACCACCGGTTTATTTAACCTTCAGATTGAGGCATACACGTGTGTTGTTCCATTCCTCCCCATTACCACTTCCGCTGTCAATAAAGTTGCGCATTCAAACAGCTGTCAAATCAAAGAGAGTTTTTAATATTTTTCCAATACATCCTTGATCCTTCACTTTTACCTCATGATTGACACAATAAATCTGATAAAACAAGATTGCTGTAAACTATGTACAGGACCACTACTTATCCTGCCATGTTCAGTGAGCAATTTGTTCAAGGGAGGTATAAAGTAAGGATGCATTGTTAAAGTATTGTGACTAGGCCCGCTAGAGAACAAGTGACAGGCCATTCTCATTATGGCACCAACAGAAAATCAAACTCCTTTTTGTTTGAACAAGGATGGCTTGACTGGGAGGCTAGAAAATTGTAATTGAATGTGAGCAAACATTGAGCATGAGTACGAACACTGAGCATAAGTAGGCTAAGTTAAACGTTTTCTTCAATAGCTAGGTTAAAGCAGATAGAAAATGGCCATGCTTGAGAAAACAAATCTATTGGACAGCTGTGGTCAAGAAAGCCATTCGAATACAACAAAATTATTCTATTTAAATGACAGGCCTTAGGCTTTCTTTCAAATTTACAAACTTATACAAACAATGAAGCTACAAATAAAGAACTTGTCAAAAATGGCAAAACATAAACATTATATTTAAGTGCTTCTGATTGGACACTGACTGACCGATTCTGAAGGTACAAAAAATAACCACAATGAACACCAGGGCCCAGTATTCACAAAGCTTCTCAGAGTAGGCGTGCCTCTGTTATTCATTATGATTTAAAAGGCTAAACTGATCCTAGATCTGCACTCAATACGGGCCCTGAAATGTAACAAAAGAGTAGCTGCGTTTGCCGAGTCTCTAGCCTTGGGCTCAAAAGGAACTCTGCTGAAGAACAGAACAACAAAAACAATAACAAATCACAATCAACAATTATTATTTTTATAGTGAGACTCACTCTCATTTTGTGAGTTAGTGTGGTAGGTTGGGGCTGCTCCGACAGTTAACTGTGTGGAGAGGAGGAGCAGGGAGGTTGCTTAGGAACGGTAACCTTTCTTCTCAAGAACACACTCTTTAGACTCTGTTGCAATAATAAACGTTTCCAATTTAGAACACACGCATACAAAAGCTAGCCTTTATGTTGACGAATCCACATATGCGTTCTTCAATGGCAACGTTGTATTTTTTATTTTTTTTATGGATTCTAAATGAACACGTCCCTAAGAGTACACTTTCCCACTTACTCAGTCGGTTTCCTCTCCCATCACGTCAATCTCGTCTTCCTCCAAGTCTTCCTCTGTCAGTTCTGTGACGCCTTGCTCAAGCCCCGCCCCCCACACTATTGGTCGCACGTCCGGCGACCACTCAAGAACGTCCACCTCCACTTCCTCTTCCTCCTCCGGCTCCCAGCTTCCTATTGACCCTGTGGTGACCCTTCGTGATGATGTCAGGGTGGAAGGCTCTGCCTCCAGAGGGGTCGGGAGACTCACGTCGGCCATCTTGGGGGCAGCGGTAGCCATGTGGAAGTGGTTGTGGGTGATGCCTCTGAAGCTGGCCACGGTGGAACTCGATTGGTCCACTTCTCTGGCGCCGGAAACCTCCTGCCAAGCTACGAAGAAAGAGGGCACACCGATAGTAAACATTTAAAAGAGGTCAAATAATTTAGACTATTTAAGCTCAAACTAGATTAAAATATGAAAATCAACTGCCAGTAGCTTTCTACGACTACACTGAGTGTACAAAACATTAGGAACACCTGCTCTTTCTATGACAGACTGACCAGGTGAAACCTATGATCCCTTATTGATATATAGAGTGGCGCAGTGGTCTAAGGCACTGCATCGGAGTGCTAGCTGTGCCACTAGAGATCCTGGTTCGAATCCAGGCTCTGCTGTAGCCGGCCGCGACCGGGAGACCCATGGGGCGGCGCACAATTGGCCCAGTGTCGTCCAGGGTAGGGGAGGGAATGGCCGGCAGGGATGTAGCTCAGTTGGTAGAGCATGGCGTTTGCAACGCCAGGGTTGTGGGTTCGATTCCCACGGGGGGGCCAGTATGAAAAAATAAATAATGTATGCACTAACTGTAAGTCGCTCTGGATAAGAGCGTCTGCTAAATGACTAAAATGTAAATGTAAAATATAGTCACTTGTTAAATCCACTTCAATCAGTGTAGATGAAGGGGAGGAGACGGGTTAAAGTATGATTTTTTAAGCCTTGAGACAATTGAGAAGTGGATTGTGTATGATTCCATTCAGAGGGTGAATGGGCAAGACAAAATATTGAAGTGCCTTTCAACGGGGTATGGTAGTAGGTGCCAGGCGCACCAGTTTGAGTGTGTCAAGAACTGCAACGCTGCTGGGGTTTTCAAGCTCAACAGCTTCCAATGTATATTAAGAATGGTCCACCACCCAAAGGACAGCCAGCCAACTTGACAACTGTGGGAAGCATTGGAGTCAACATTGGTCTAGCATCCCTGTGGAACGTTTGACACCTTGTAGAGTCCATGCCCCGACGAACTGAGGCTGTTCTGAGGGCAAAAGGGGGTGCAACTCAATATTAGGAAGGTGTTCCTAATGTTTTGTACACTCCGTGTACATTTCCCTCAAAAGTGAAAATGAAGGAAGGTTCACATTCAGGTTCAAATTGATTTACCTGCATCAGGATACATCGTTGGACACATCTCCTCTACATCGATCTCCTCCTCTTCACCACTCACTTCCTCAGTCACGGCGTAGCCAAACGTCTGGTGGACCTCGTCAACCACATCAAACTCCTCGCTGGAGATCTCCATCTCCAAATACCCATCCTCCATTTTCTCCTCCACCTCTTGGATGATCACACTTCTCCTATATGCCTCCAACATGGATCCTTTTGGTTCTTCGGTCTTCTTGTTTGTCTCTGTAGACGAGTCTGTTTCCCTCTCTCTGTTCTCCTTGGTAACCAGATCTCTTCCTTCCTTGTTGCCTTTGTCGGTCCGTTGAGGATCCACCATTTTCTTTGTCCTTGTCATCGATAACATTGCTAAGGTAGCCAGCTCCTCTCGAAGTTCGGAAAAGTCTCCTGACGCATCCACGTTTTCTCCGTCTTCAACGTTTTCTGTGTTCTCAAAATGTTCTCTGTCCTCAATGTTCTCTCTTTCAGTCTCTTTGTAGATGAGTTCTTGATACTCCGTCTCCTGTCCACAAGTGCTGCTGTTGTGTCCTGCATCTTTTTCCTCCGGATGGTCGCTCTCTGTTCGGTTTGTCTGATCGTAATTTTCAACGGTTGGTCTAACGGCTGACTCTCTTTCTAGAGACTGGGAATAACTTTTTTTTTTGTTCATCAGTCTTGATTCATTTTGACCGCTGTCAATTTCATTGGGTTTCAATAACTTTAACTTTCCTTCACTTTGTTTCTCTCCTTCAGTTTCACTTTCTGTTTCTTTTGCCTCCTTGCTTTTGGCAGACTTCCTCGTCTTTTGGTGCCTGTGCTTCAGGAGCTCTTGGAACTTCTTGAGAGACACAGTGGGTGCCCGACCCTTGGAGGGAGCCAGCTTGACAGCAGGGGGGCTCACTTGGTCTCTGTCTGATTCTGTCTCTCCAGATCTTTCTGGACTGGAGTTCTGTGGCTGACCAGACGGCTGGGGCTCCGGAATGGTTCCGGTTCCAATCCCTGAACAGTTAGAAGGAACTTGCTCTTCAGGGGTACTGGGGGAAGTTGTCTGCAAGCTAGGCTTCTGAGCAACTGTTTTAGATTTAGACAGGACAGGTAGTCTCTGGAACAACTCTGCTCTCTCTCCTTCGCCATGTCCCTCCCAGAGCCTGACCCTTTTCCTGTACTTGTTTCGCTTGTCGTCCTTTCCCTGCAGTTCTCTGACTCCTTTTTCCTTTCCCTGCAGTTCTCTGACTCCTTTTTCCTTTCCCTGCGGTTCTCTGACTCCTTTTTCCTTTCCCTGCAGTTCTCCTCCTCCTTTTTCCTTTCCCTGCAGTTCTCCTCCTCCTTTTTCCTTTCCCTGCAGTTCTCTGACTCCTTTTTTCCTGTCCGGCGTTTCTCTGACTCCTTTTTCCTTTCCCTGCGGTTCTCTGACTCCTTTTTCCTTTCCCTGCAGTTCTCCTCCTCCTTTTTCCTTTCCCTGCAGTTCTCCTCCTCCTTTTTCCTTTCCCTGCAGTTCTCCTCCTCGTTTTTCCTTTCCCTGCGGTTCTCCTCCTCCTTTTTCTTTTCCCTGCAGTTCTCCTCCTTTTTCCTTTCCCTGCGGTTCCTCCTGACCTCTTTTTTTCCATTTCCCTGAACGATATCTCTGACCTCCTTTTTCCTTCCCTGCGATTCGCTTGACTCGTTTTTCCTTTCCCTGGCGATTCTCCTCTGACTCCTTTTTTTTCCTTTCCCGGCGGTTTCTCTGACCTCGTTTTTTCCTTTTTTCCTTTCCCTGCGATTCTCTGACTCCTTGTTCCTTTCCCTGCGGTTCTCCGACTCCTTTTTCCTTTCCCTGCGGTTCTCCACTTCCTTTTTCCTTTCTCTGTGGTTCCCTTCCTTTTTGCTTTTTGTGCTCAACAGCTTCCCCGTCATGGATGCCCGTTGTCATGGCACTGGAGGGAACTGAACCACCAGCCTGGGAAACCTGTTTTTTTCCTGGTCGTATCTTCCGGGGTCTACCACGTTTCCTATTCGGGGGTGGTGTTGGTGGGATTTGGAGCAGTCCAACTGCATTGGCCAGAGCTTGAAACCTGGAGATGGAAGGACTGGGGGTTTCAGAAGACACGTTAGACGGCTGGTCTTCTTGGTGAAGTTTTACTGGGGAGCAGCTCCTGGTTGCGGTCCAAACGTTAGGGGGGCGCTTCACATCTCGATCCCTGGCTCGGAGCACCCTTACTGGGTTCCCCATTTCCCTTCTCAGCCTCTTTATTCCTTCTGGAGGTCCGTTGGCTTCCTCACCAAGGCTGGACAAAGACTTTGTGGAGGTGGTGGAGGTGTTGGAAAGGTACCGTCCTAATCGTTCACTCGCTAAGACATTGTTGGTTGCCAGACTGACAGAGCAGATACTTATTTTCACTTGTCCGTTCTCAGTCTTCGTGCCGTCGTTGAGTTTCACTCTTTCAGTCTTTATATCTTCATCCCCGACTTCTATCTTTGTAGAGACGTTGCGTTTCCTCTTTTTCCGACGAGGCTCCAGGGTCTCGCTGTCCTCTGATTGTTCCTGCTCCGCTTTCAAACCCTCTGTTCTCCTCTCATGGATTCTCGTCCTGTTCCTGGGTGGATTCAAGGTTTCATCCCCCTGGCTTCTCTCAGTCTTTGCTTTCAGTTTCTCAATCCTTCGCCCCTGCTCCGCCTCAAAACCCTCCTTTCTCCTCACACGGATTCTCTTCCTGTTACTGTGGGGCTTCAAGGTTTCATCTCCCTCGCTTCTCTTCGCCTTTGGTTTCTCAAGCCTTCGCCCCGTAGTGGTGGTCACGACCTTCTTCCTTTTCCACTCCTCCTCGCCCTCTTTGCCGGCCAGTCTTGAGTTGTTGCTAATGCTAGCCCTGTCTTGACCATCAGTCATCTGCTCGGAGTTGTTGTTGGATTCCAACGGCAGCAAAAGGCATTTCTTAGATTCACACAGATTTCCACGGGAATGTGGCGAGTGAATCATGGAGCTAAGTGGAAACTGTAGTCTTCTCGGAGTGCGGCAGAGCCAAGGTGGTAGCTTTGACAGCTGAGGGATTCTATGGAATGGAGTAGCAGGATGCCGGAATGGGGATTTAAGGAAGGGTTTCGTCGGAGAAGGTGGTGGTGAGGGTTCCGGCGAATTTAAGGGTGAGAGACATTTTGGCAGGCGTAGCTCTTCCCAATGTGGAGGAGGAGATTGGGAAGGCTGGGTTTCACTTCCTCGAGACAGCAGTGAAAGGAGTTCTGGGAAACCTAGTCCTCTCCCGGGAGTGGCATCTGGTGGGCATGCTGGGTGTTGTGGTTCAGAAGCATCCGTTTCAGAGGGGGGGAGGAAACCGGGGGTGACAGCCATTGGTTCTTCTTCTTGTGGAACTTCGTGATTCGTACTGGCCTGACTCAGACTCTGACTTGGAATGGCTTCTCCATTCACTTGACTTGGAGTAGTGTCTCCATTCACTTGACTTGGAGTAGAGTCTCCATTCACTTGACTTGGAGTAGTGTCTCCATTCACTTGACTTGGAGTGGTCTCTCCATTGGTCGACAGACAATCCGCAGAGGACAGATTACAAACATACTCTTTGGATGTCGACGGAACGCCTGTCTGGGCTGAAGAACCCTTCCAGCACCCTGGATCTCGGTCCTCTTCCCCTGTGTAAGGTAGAGAGGCCTGGCTCTGAGGAAGGGACTGGTGGTGGTGGGGAGGCCTTGGTGAAGGGCCTGAGTGGACTGGTATGATGCTGCTGCTGCCACCGCATCCAACCACCAGGCTCTTGGAGTTCCGGTTCTGGAGTTCCTGGTTCTGAGAGTTCTGGTTCTGGAACCGGACCAGGAGTTCATGGTGGTTCTTGGCGTTCTCAGAGGAGCACTGGAGTACACCTGAACAATAGGAAGCCCGGTTGCATTCGGTCCAGTCAGAGGAGTAATCATTACAGGAGAAGTGAGGGTGAGAGTGGTGGTGGGGGGTGGAGGGGTGGGGGGTGGAGCAGTGAGGGGTCAGAGGTTGGGGGTCCAGGTAAAGGTCAGGGGTGACGGTGCAGGTGGTTGTCGTGGTGACGAAATGGGAGGAGATGATGGAGTGGAAGGCTTGAGAAAGAGAGAGAGAGAGGGGGGTGAGGCCGGTGGTAGCTAAGTGTGGGTGCTAATATTGATCTATTGTAATGGATTACACTGTGAGATAGATAAGTGCAAGCAGTGCTGTGAGTAGCTGAGGAAGGGCAGGCATTTAAAATGTACATGATTTATCATACATAGACTAAGTCAGTGTTTCCCAACTCCGGTCCTCCAGTACCCCCAACAGTATTTATTTGTTGTGGCCCCAGACAAGCACACCTGATTCTACTTATCAACTAATCATCAAGCCCTTGACAAGCACACCTGATTCTACTTATCAACTAATCATCAAGCCCTTGACAAGCACACCTGATTCTACTTAAACTGCTAAGTTGATGATTAGTTGTGAAACACTGACATAAGTAGCTAGAAAGCCTTACAACATAGTTAACAAGGAGCCTGGTTCAGATTAAAGGCGGCAGGTAGCCTAGTGGTTAAGAGCGCTGGGCCAGTAACCAAAAGGACACTGGTTCGAATCCCCGAGCCAACTAGGTGGAAAATCTGTCGATGTGCCCTTGAGCAAGGCACCCTAATTGCTCCTGTAAGTCACTCTGGATAAGAGCGTCTGCTAAATGACTGAAATATAAATATGAAGCCTTCTCAGTAGAGAAAGGTGTTCGATCACATAACATGTAACAAAACATACCTGTTTCAGTCGACAACGCATCACTTCCTTCTCGTTGCGAACACATGCAACGAGAAGCCGAGCCAATGGCGCTGTGCATCCCACAATGCCTTGCGTGGACGGGATGATGCGAGCAGGAGCAGGCCGACGGTCTGTCGTGGCTTTGGAGATGGTGGTGCCGATCGCAATCCTTCTCCAGAACCATAGGGGGCAGTATGTTCAACCCCATCATGATGTCTTCCAGCATCTTCTCGATCTGCTCGTCCGATTCCTCTACCTGCTGGCCAAAACAAGAGGACCACAACAGAAATACGTTGTTAAACATTTTCTGTGTTACCTTGATCATTTTAAATGCGTGATTGAATTGCCTTTTTTTTTAAATCGTAAAATAAATGAAGATACCGGAGGCTGGGGCAAGGCGAGCTGGGGTTGATGTACTGGGTGTGGGGTCGGATGGTGGGTGGAGCTGCAGTGGTTAAGGGAGATTGACTGGGCGGTGGTATTGGAGGTGGAGTGGGAGTGGGATCGGAGTGGGGAGATTGGGAGGTCTGGTGGAGGGGTGAGGAAAGCTGTGTCGAGGGGAGAGCTTCGGGGGAGGGCTGGGAACTGGGGTGGGTGGAGAGACTGGTGTGGTAGTTGTCTTGTCCTCATGCATTCTGTTTCCTGCCGTGAAATAATAAAAGGAGACATACTGAGAAAAGAACACTGAGAAAATAAAAGCCCATTTGGCTCCGATGCAATACATGTTATATACCAAAGTTTCAACAGCTATGCTGCCTTCATCAGGGTTTCATCTGAACAGGGTTTCAAGATACATTTTTAGGAAATATATATTTTGACTTGTGCTGCTGTTTTGCCAGCTCAGATTAACTTGAGTAATGGACAGGGTATTCAAAAACACATCAATGGCTTACTAACATGGTAATGGCCATTCACTGTAAACTAACAGGCAAACATTTTCTAGAGTAAAAATGGAGCCCTCAAATTCATCTCTTAACTTTGCTGACAACAATCAGAGTTAGAATGGCATTGGAAGTATTAGAACGGTATCAGTTATTGTGCCATTCACCTTCTTCAGAGCAGCGAGGACCGACTGCCTCTGACCAGGTGAGATGGTTCCGTCCCTCTCCTGCCTCTGACCAGGTGAGATGGTTCCGTCCCTCTCCTGCCTCTGACCAGGTGAGATGGTTCCGTCCCTCTCCTGCCTCTGACCAGGTGAGATGGTTCCGTCCCTCTCCTGCCTAAGACCAGGTGAGATGGTTCCGTCCCTCTCCTGCCTCTGACCAGGTGAGATGGTTCCGTCCCTCTCCTGCCTAAGACCAGGTGAGATGGTTCCGTCCCTCTCCTGCCCACTGACCAGCTCCCACACCTGTCAAACAATCAATCAATCAATCAATCAAATGTATTGATAAAGCCTATTTTACATCAGGGCCCAGGTCAACAGTAGTGCACTATTTAGGGAATCGGGTGCCATTTTGGACAGACCACCTACCTGTCCCCTGGTCCTCCTCCTCAGCTTGACCTTCATGGAGATCTGAGTGTTCTCCAGCCTCTGTCCGGTCAGGCACTTCCTCCCAACCACACCTCAAAATCACATCACATCTTATTTACAGTGCATTTAAAAACGCCAACACACTTTACAGTACATGCCAAATATCATATATAAAAACACAAAGGATGTCGAAAATAACAGTCAAATCGTTGATTCAAGGCCCCGGGGTTTGAAAGATGATTTAAAAACCTCAGCTGTCTCCCCATCTTACCTCTCCTCACCAAACACTCCCTCCTTCCTCCTCCCTCTCCCGTCCCAGTGTGCTCCCTCTTCTCCGTCACAGAGCATTCTGGGACGGCACTCTTCTCCCGGGGCGTCGTGGGGTGGTCACTGCCCAGGACAACAGAGGACGATGAGGGGTTTGTGACGTCGGTGCAATACCCCTCCGTTTCGGCGGTCCAAGCGTGGGTTCTAAAGGGAGCTGTTCCACCGTTGACCATTGCTTTGACGCTGGGTGGGGTGGAACTGGGGTGTGAAGTGGGGGTCATAATCCGGGGACTCGGGGAACGGGGTGCTGAGGGAGTTGTGTGCTGCTGTCCTTCACTGCTGTTCTGGACTAGTAGGAGGGGTGGGTTTGGAGGTGAGGGTGAATGTGTGGATGTAGGGAGAGCACCAGGGAGAGGACTGAGGAAAGTCATGCAAATACCTCCATTACAGTCCTCAGTCTGTGTCCCTGTCTCCACGAACGCCCCCACGTCCACCTGTGTCTCTCCTCCCTCTGTCTGCACTCCCACCTCTGTAAGACTACACCTCCTCTCCTCACCCCCCTCCCTCCCCCTATCCTTCCACCCCTCCACCAAGCGGCCTATACCCAGCTTACAGGCTGCGGCCATCACCTCTTCTTGTTCCATGGTGCCCTCTCCCTCCAGCTCTCCGGAGTACAGGAGATCCACCAGCTTCAGCAGGGTCTGGGCCTTCACAGCCTGGAGCTTGAGTGGCCATCTCTGCCCAGCGGGGAGGGGGGATGACTGGGTGGACAGGGCCTTGGACAGGTAGGGGCTCAGGGCAGCCAGGATGCAGCTGTGGGCCGGGACTGACAAACCTGTGAGAAGAGAGAAATGTGACGTCATTAGCTCCATTTGTAATGCAGGTGAAGAAATGTGATGTAGGCCTAATGTCTAGGTTTTAACGAAGGGCATGTGGAAGGAGAGGAGGAATGGGAGTTGGATTTGATTGATCCCTTTACTATCCTCAATATGAACCTCATTGTCTCCATAACTTACATCAATCATTTGGCTACTTTGTATCATGTCATTACTGTCCCTCCCTCCCCCTCTCTCCTCCCTCCCTCCCCTCTCCTCCCTCCATCCCCCTCTCCTCCCTCCCTCCCCCTCTCTCCTCCCTCCATCCCCCTCTCTCCTCCCTCCCTCCCCCTCTCTCCTCCCTCCCTCCCCCTCTCCTCCCTCCCTCCCCCTCTCCTCCCTCCATCAGTCCGTAGCAGGGTAACCTCTCCTTCCCCCCTCTCCCTCTCTCACCATCAGTCTATAGCAGGGTATCACAGTAGAGACCAGTGGAGGCTGGTGGAAGAAGCTATAGGACGGGCTCATTGTAACAGCTGGAATGGAATTCATGGAACGGAGTCAAACGTGTGGTTTCCATATGTTTGATAGCGTTCCATTGATTCCAGAGTATGTGAGCGGAGCGTGCCCAGTTTGACTGGATCGTGGAGAGAGATTCCTAAAGGCTGGAGCGTCGGCCTTCTCGCCCGCTCCACATTCGCTCCAATAGCGCTCCAGTAGTGTTCACTTCACCAGCTCAGGGCACGCCGTCCCAGCATGCATTTGTAGTCTACTTGTGTGCTGCTATAGCCACTTGCTTTAGCTACTGTCATGGAGTTCACTACATATTTTCATAAAGAAAGTGATAACACACACAGGTGCTAAATCAAGATGACTTACAAAGATGAGGACCAATAGCAAGAGAGGGAGTGTGGTGATGTAATGTCCACAACTAAAGAATAATTGTGGAATCTGAAAATACACACGTCCCAAAAGCATGATGGGGTACTTACTACGTGCACATGCTAAAAGTAAGGAATGAGGTGGGTAGATAACTAAGTGTGTCATTGTAGCAAAGTATTTATAAACTAAAAATCTGATCTCTTAAAAGTTTCCTTCATTTTGGTTCTATTATCTATACAATAGGTCATAACTGAAGACTGGCCAAACTGGTGTTTCTAAAAATGAATTCAAAGGCACTAATAAGTGATTTTTCATTTAATTAAGTAAGTCACAGCCTTTATGTGCAATTTATAGACTATAATGATTTAATACAACTAAATGCTGTTTAAATGCTGAGAGCTTAATGTCCCTACCAGGCTAGTGTGTTGCACTAGCAAATGCTTCACAATGTTTTCTTTGTAGGCTACAGCCTTGAAATAACTGAAATAATACAGCCTAAATAATTCACTTTCGTTCCTGTCTGGCTCCTGACCTAGTTACAGTGTTTAATATGACAAGTAGCCTATTTGAAAATGTTTGTGTCTTACATTCACCTTTTCATGTTTATTAAAATACTTCTCATTTAAATCCATATGGATTGGTTTCAATACTTAAAAACCAAATGGTAGGTCCAGGTAGTCACAAATATAGATTGGTGTTGGTTAAATTGTGATTTTAATGAAAGGAGCGGCAGTTTTTTTCCCCCCTGTGAGCGCGGAGAGGTTTTTAGCTGAGCGGTAGGAAAGGACGCGGAGCGCCACGAGTGGGATTTCCAACTGCTCAACCCCGCTCACATGCTCTGATTGCATTCCAGCCATTACAATGAGCCCTTCCTCCTATAGCTCCTACCACCAGCCTCCTCTGGTAGAGACTGCGGTCTCTCCCTCCCCCTCAGTCTGTAGCAGGGTATCCCAGTAGACTGCTGTCTCTCCCTCACCCCCCTCTCTCATCTCGCTCCCTCACCCCTCTCACCATCTGTCTGGTAGCATGGTATCCCAGTAGACTGCTGGCTCTCCTCACCCCTCACCCCCCCCTCTCTCACCTCCCTCCCCCTCTCACCATCAGTCTGTAGCAGGGTATCCCAGTAGACTGCTGTCTCTCCCCTCACCCCCTCTCTCACCTCCCTCCCCCTCTCACCATCAGTCTGTAGCAGGGTATCCCAGTAGACTGCTGTCTCTCCCCTCCCCCCCCCTCTCACCATCAGTCTGTATCAGGGTATCCCAGTAGACTGCTGTCTCTCCCTTCTTCACGCCCCCTCTCTCACCTCCCTTCCCCCTCTCAAACCAATCAGTCGTGTATCAGGGTAGCCCAGTAGACTGCTGTCGCTTCCTCACCCGCCCCTCGTCATCCCTCCTCCTCCCCCTCCCCTTCCCTCCGCCACTCATCCCATCAGTCTGTATCAGGGTATCCAGTAGACTGCTGTCTCTCCTCCCTCCCCCTCTCACCATCAGTCTGTAGTAAGGGTATCCCAGTAGACTGCTGTCTCTCCCTCCCCCCCCTCTCACCATCAGTCTGTATCAGGGTATCCAGTAGACTGCTGCTCTCCCTCCCTCCCCCTCACCATCACCTCTTCTCCCCCTCCTCCCCCTCCTCACCATGTCTGTATAGGGTATCCACAGTAGACTGCTGTCTCCCCTCCCTCCCCTCTCACCATCAGTCTGTATCAGGGTATCCCAGTAGACTGCTGTCTCTCCCTCCCTCCCCCTCTCACCATCAGTCTGTAGCAGGGTATCACAGTAGAGACTGTTGTGCTTCTGTCTCTGTAGTTCCTCCAGGAGCCTCAACTCATAGCCAGGCAGACGGTACCTCCACATCCTCCTCTTCTGGTCCTCCACCCTGAGATGGAGGGATGGGCTACTGGGTAGAATGGAGAGGGGGGATATAGGGAAATGGGGTAGGGGGAAGAAGGGGGCAGTGGGTAGCAAGGAGAGAGGGATAGACGAATGGGGAGAGAGGGGATAGAGTGGTGGGGTGTAGAGGACAGAAAATAAAGGGATGTAGGGAAAAGGGTGGAGGGAGTGATTTAAATGACTGTGCAGATTGATCCGACGGGTATACAGCATTTGACTAAGTGAAACAACGGTAAAACCAGATGTTCATACATTGTCTGTAGGCCTATTCAAAATGGCGTGCTTGGAGAAGACTGGGCTGAACAGACAAGGCATGAAGTTGGTTGTGAGATGCTACAGGCGGTAACAATGTCATACTCGTTTGGACCAGACAGAATCAGATAGATAGCCTACACGTAGAGAGACAGAGGGGCGCTGTTTCGCTCGTTCGGATGCTTTCTCCTGTGAGATAGCCAGCCTCTTGCGAATTGAAGTTACATTATGAAACGCAGATAGACGAAAGATACATTCTTTAAGTTTTTTTGTCCATTTTTGGGGGAAGCCTGGCTTCCCTTCGCACCATGAATACACGCCACTGGAGTGAGTGGCTAGTACTTTACATTAGGAACTCCGTGAAAACCTTCCAATTGTCATGTATTAGTTAACACATTCGTTTCATGACTAGAAGAAAAAAATTCAGACACAATTAGCTAGTCGTATCAGTTGTTAGTCAGTGGTATTGCTAGAAAAGACAGCTTGTTTCGTTGGAGCGCTTGCAAGAGCCATGCATTTCAAAGCCTGTTGTGGGCGACCTCCGCTTATCAATAAGACACACTGACAATAGGCCTACATTCAAAAACATCAATTTTCATGTGTTGCATTAGTGCACATTAATTCAGTTCTCAAACAACTGTAAATGTGGTCCAGCTATCTAGCTAATTAGCTATAGTTTGGAGACTGATCAGCACGCTCGTGCTGGGGGAGGAACGGGAAACTAAAGTCTGGTGAAGTTGGCTAAATGTGTTAACTAGCGAGACGGCTACCTAATGCACATGCTTACCTTTTCGATGCCAGTCAGGGCTTTTTCTTGTCTAGTGACTTGCTTTGTCAAACACAGTCAAAAAAATCAGTATATCGCCAACCAATTTGTTTCAAATAGTTAATGTTGACATATTCCCTAATTGATCGATTCCCACAACGTGGCCAAATTCACGGACTGACGTCACACATCAGAAAGGACTTTTCTCCTCAACGTCAAAATCGCGAGGGGCGATCGTGCGCGCTCATGCGTCCCGTTAGTGGGAAAAGCCTAGAAGGGGGAACTGCATATTCGAAAAATTTCGGCTCGTCCTTGATCATCAACTTCTGTTGTTCCACAGCCAGCGGCAGTTCCATTTGATCTGATCAAGAGCAAACCCTTTGAAATCTTCATTGCAGTGTTGAAAGGATTCTGTTGACTTTAACCAATCAGAGGCGTGCGTTGCTTGACCCCATTGATCTCAGCGTCTCAACACTGCATGATGACTTATGTTTGTGTTTATGAAGAGTACAACTTTACAGCGAGAACAACTAACATTTACTATAACACATGCTTTTCTCAAATAACACACAGAGAGCTAAAGAGAGAAAAAGTCAAGGCCAACATTGAAAAAAAATCTCTTTATTAAAAACAGTATTGCTAGTTACATATTCCATTCATGAGGGAAATGTGCAACATCAAGAGCAAAAGGCATAGAAGAAGAGATGAATGTTTTCATCCAGAATCACCTTTTAGATCTGCGTTCCAATAATAAACTGATGACAGACAGAAACACTCCTAAAAAGGCACCCTGTCCCCTATATAGTTAAATACCTTTGACCAGAGACATATCAGGCCTTGGTCAAAAGTAGTGTACTAAATTATATTGGGAATAGGGGGCCATTTGGGACGTATCCTGATTTTACATTTTTTTTCTTCCTTGTTTTGTCTTTAATTAAAATATATAAACCATAAATGTTTCTCAATTAAAAAATAAAACCGATTGCATATGCGTACACCCACAATACCCGCAAGACGATTAAACCCAAATCATAAAATATATAAAGACCAATACATAAAACCATTCAAATTAACAAATATTTATCTTGTATATATAGTTAAATTTGCTTTTTTATTTTTTTTAAATAGCAACTAGAATCAAAATCTGGTCTTTGCACTCATACAAATCTTGCTAATTTAACTTTATGCTCCACACTTCTTTAGTCCTACATTCCCATTGGATTCCACTCCCACATGATTTCCTGTATCGGTTCTAGATCATCTCATTCTAGTACTATATCTGGTTACAAGGCAACTCATTTACATTTTCTGAGACTGACCATTTGTAGTGTTGGATTGGCATGAAAATAATCAAAGGAACCAAGAAACGCTTTTACCCCTAGTGCTTTAATGATCTACTCAGAAAATATCTACATCTTACTCTGCACTGAGAATAATAATGCTGTCTACGGTACTAAAGGAACTCTGTCTGGGGGGAAACAACCAGCTAAATGTGTCCTCTCCCCTCAGTGTTCTGTTCTATGGTCTCCATGGACACCAGCCAGTCTAGCAGGGTAGATGGACACCCAGGCGTAGGTTCAGTAGGCCGGAACACTCCAGAATGTTGCCAGTCTGACATGGAATGTATGGCACTGGCATGGTTCTCTCGGTTCCATATGCAGAGAATCAATCATATCAACTCTATACATTCCATTGTTTTATTATGCGGAACACAAAACTGTTCTATACATTCCATTTGGATGCAATGTTCTGGAATGTTGCTGCTAGTGAATGATATCACCAGGGCACCACCCCACCTTAAAAACACCAATTCCCCCCCCCCCCCCCCCCCCATTAGACCAATCAACGAACGAGGCACTCCAGTTAGCCAATAGCCACACAGACGTTAGTTAAAGGCGATCACATATTTACAGATTCATATATATATATATATAGATTTGCAGATAGAAAGAAATGCACTCACTGGATCAACAATCAAATCTGTGATTTCTCCCAAAGCTTCAGGAGAATCATTAGAACAAGAGGGAGTTGAAAAAGGGGCTTATTCAGTAGGGTATAACAATGACGCTAAAGAGTGATACAGATAGAAATGTATTGTATAGAGCCGAAACGGTTCACTGGTCTATTCTACACGGCTGAAAATCATAGAAATATACTGTGCAGAACAGACTATCAGAATGTTCTGTGACGCAAGACCCACGTCTAAAATGTTAAAGTGGTCGTCAAACTACTTACTTTCCCACAATCCTTTGCCACAACACTGCGACATCACAAAAGACAGCAGCAGAAGGCGAGTACAGAGCCGGTGTTCCCGTGGTAACCACTGCAAGGACTAAGTAGGCAAAATTGTTGGTGGGTCAGGATTACAATTTGGGCAGCATCCCATATGGAACCCTATTCCTTACGTAGTGCACTATATATAGGGCAGGGCTGCCCAACCCTGTTCCTGGAGAGCTAGCGTCCTGTAGGTTAACTCCAACCCTGTTCCTGGAGAGCTACCGTCCTGTAGGTTCACTCCAACCCTGTTCCTGGAGAGCTACCGTCCTGTAGGTTCACTCCAACCCTGTTCCTGGAGAGCTACCGTCCTGTAGGTTCACTCCAACCCTGTTCCTGGAGAGCTACCGTCCTGTAGGTTCACTCCAACCCTGTTCCTGGAGAGCTACCGTCCTGTAGGTTCACTCCAACCCTGTTCCTGGAGAGCTACCGTCCTGTAGGTTCACTCCAACCCTGTTCCTGGAGAGCTACCGTCCTGTAGGTTCACTCCAACCCTGTTCCTGGAGAGCTACCGTCCTGTAGGTTCACTCCAACCCTGTTCCTGGAGAGCTACCGTCCTGTAGGTTCACTCCAATCCTAATCTTGCGCACCTCATTCTAATAATTAGCTGGATCAGGTTAGTTACAACTGGGGTTAGAGAAAAAACTACAGGAGAGTAGCTCTCCAGGAACAGGGTTGGAGTGAAAATCTACAGGAGGGTAGCTCTCCAGGAACAGGGTTGGAGTGAAATCTACAGGAGGGTAGCTCTCCAGGAACAGGGTTGGAGTGAATATCTACAGGAGGGTAGCTCTCCAGGAACAGGGTTGGAGTGAATATCTACAGGAGGGTAGCTCTCCAGGAACAGGGTTGGAGTGAATATCTACAGGAGGGTAGCTCTCCAGGAACAGGGTTGGAGTGAATATCTACAGGAGGGTAGCTCTCCAGGAACAGGGTTGGAGTGAATATCTACAGGAGGGTAGCTCTCCACGAACAGGGTTGGAGTGAATATCTACAGGAGGGTAGCTCTCCAGGAACAGGGTTGGAGTGAATATCTACAGGAGGGTAGCTCTCCAGGAACAGGGTTGGAGTGAATATCTACAGGAGGGTAGCTCTCCAGGAACAGGGTTGGAGTGAATATCTACAGGAGGGTAGCTCTCCAGGAACAGGGTTGGATAACCCTGATGTAAGGAACAGTGTGCCATTTGGGACATAACCTGGTCTGGGGTACGATTCAGTTAGAAGCCAAAATATGCTCTCACCTCCTTCCCCCTCACATAACTTAACAATGTGGTCATAGTTAACAGCAAAGCCTTCCAGTATACCTGTAGCAAGGCTCTGTGAAGAGAAGAAGTGTTCAGAAATACTCTTTAGTATAAAGTTACTGCAATAGTGGTGTGTAGTTTGGCATGTGTACATCACTGTTGTTAGAACCACAACTCAGCAATCACACTTCAAACAAATACGAAAACAACACCGGCAGTAGAACTAACATTGATTCTTTGTTGGAACACAGCAGAAGTTTAGTGGTAATTAGTTATCACAAGAAAAAAACCTTGACTGGAAATCGTCACGGTCACTTCCAGAAATGTGGTTTTAACCATTCCAGTAAAAAAAGCGGTTTGTCAGTTTAAGTTCAGTTACAGTTTGAATCCCATTCCAACAGTTCCCTTTTGATTAGCTTTGCTACTGTGGTGGTGAACGTTCCCAGTTCCGAGATGAAGTCACAACTGTCCGTATTGTGGTGGGAGGAGTTAGTGTAGTGTTGGAGGAGCTTCTAGGTGAGTTCAAAGGTGAGTCATTAGTGTGTCACTGTGGATGGGAGGGGTTACTAAATAGGATGTGGTCTTGTGTCATAGTAGTGTTGACAGGTAGAAGGGATGTCATGAGGATGTCAGGAGTCCATAGTGTTCCTTTAGTGGATACAAGTCTGTCTGTGTCTAAAGAGAGGAATGCAAGACAGAGGGATAGGGAGAGATAGGGAGAGAGGGACAGAGAGATAGAGAGAGATATGGAGAGATAGGGAGAGAGGGACAGAGAGATAGAAAGAGAGTAGGGAGGTGAGGAAGGCTGGAGGTCATGCAAGTGGCTTATGTCACAGAACCCGAGAGTGATAGCGGGAAAAAGAGAGATGAAGAGAGTGAGTCAGAAAATGAGAGAGGAGAGAGAAAGAGAGAAGGGGCGAGAGAGAGAGAAAGAAAAGAGAGAAAAATAGTCCGAAAACGGGAGAGAGACAGAAGGAGAGAGTGTCCAGTCCTAGTGGAGTCAGTGTTGTGTCCAGAGGTTCAGCAGGGGCAGTAGGCTGGGAGAGGCTGCTCTCTTCTAGTGATGCACACTATCAGTTTCTCTGTGGGAAGACAAGAAAGGAGAGAGAGGGTGTGGAGCGAGAGAGAGAGAGAGGGGTTAATACCATGTGCAATATTTGTTGTACGAGTGCAACTCATAAACCAGCTGTATAAGCTTAGAGGATTGAGAGGACACAGACACGGAACAGACATGGAACAAATGAACAAACATCAAGACACAAGATCAACAACATACTACATCAAATATACAATTCACCAGCAGAGGGAGCAAGAAAGAACAAACCAATCCAATGGACACACACAGGTTAGGCCATGCGGTTTAGTGAGAAAGGCAGGTGTTCAGTCAGTGGACACACATACCATGCGCTCACATGCAGTGTGTGAGGGGGTGTGGCCTAACCGTCATAAGAGTCCATGAGAGGAACAGAGTCCCGCCTCTCCTCATACAGCCCTCCCTGAGAGGGGGAAGAGAGAAGGGGGGAGGAGGGAGAGAAAGAGAGAAGGGGGGAGGAGGGAGAAAAAGAGAGAAGGGGAGGAGGGAGGAGAAGAGAGAAGGGAAGGAGGGGGAAAGAGAGAGGGGGGAGGAGGGGGAGAAAGAGAAGGGGGAGGAGGGAGGAAAACAGAGAAGGGGGGAGGAGGGGGAGAAAGAGAGAAGGGGGAGGAGGGAGGAAAAGAGAGAAGGGGGGAGGAGGGGGAGAAAGAGAGAAGGGGGAGGAGGGAGGAAAAGAGAGAAGGGGGGAGGAGGGGGAGAAAGAGAGAAGGGGAGGAGGGAGAGAAAGAGAATGGGGGGAGGGGGGAGAGAGAGCGAGAAGGGTGGAGGAGGAAAGAGAAGGGGGAGGGGGGAGAAGAGAGAAGGGGGAGGAGGGGTAGTTCGAGAGGGGGTGGAGGGAAGAGAGACAAGATGGGGAGAGACAAGGTGGGGAGAGATGAGGGGAGAGACAATGAGAGGAGAGATGAGGGTAGTTAGGAGGAGAGGAGAGCGAGAAAAGGGGGAGGGAGAAGAGGGAAGAGAAGGAAGAGGAAGGGCGGTGGTGACAGGGCGGTGGTGACAGGGCGGTGGTGACAGGGAGGTGGGGTGACAGAGAGGTGGTGACAGAGCGGTGGTAACAGAGAGGTGGTAACAGAGAGGTGGTAACAGAGCGGTGGTAACAGAGCGGTGGTAACAGAGCGGTGGTAACAGAGCGGTGGTAACAGAGAGGTGGTAACAGAGAGGTGGTAACAGAGAGGTGGTAACAGAGCGGTGGTAACAGAGAGGTGGTAACAGAGAGGTGGTAACAGAGAGGTGGTAACAGAGAGGTGGTAACAGAGCGGTGGTAACAGAGCGGTGGTAACAGAGCGGTGGTAACAGAGAGGTGGTAACAGAGAGGTGGTAACAGAGAGGTGGTAACAGAGAGGTGGTAACAGAGAGGTGGTAACAGAGAGGTGGTAACAGAGAGGTGGTAACAGAGAGCGGTGGTAACAGAGCGGTGGTAACAGAGAGGTGGTAACAGAGAGGTGGTAACAGAGAGGTGGTAACAGAGAGGTGGTGGGTTGAAGCAGAGGGGGCAGAGGGGGCAGAGAGAAAGTGACAGACAGAAGGGTGTGTTCAGAAATAACAATATGAAGACAAGAAGAATGTGATAACAAGGGAGAGAGAGAGGGCGAGAGAGAGAGGGGGAGGGTTGATAAAGTGGGTTAGTGTCAGAAGAAGTTGAGGGGAAGTTAAGTGAGAAATCGTTTGTGAGAAAAGAAGCTAACCACAGTATTTAGTGAGACGTGTGAGAACATGCTCTGTGTGTGTGTGTGTGTACCTGTGCTGTGTCTTTGTCAGCAGGCTCGAGTGTTGCGTCCAGAGTGTTCTTCCTCCCCCTCTGGTCCAGTGTGGAGTAGGCATCTGGAAGACAGCCAAGGGCTGTTAACAACTGTGTGTGTGTGTGTGTGTGTGTGTGTGTGTGTGTGTGTGTGTGTGTATGTGTGTGTGTGTGTGTGTGTGTGTGTGTGTGAGTGTGTGTGTGTGTGTGCTCAGACATACCTGGTCCCATATCATTTAGTGGAATCATGTCTCTCTCTCTGTTTCCTCCTCCTGACAAACAAACACAGTCACAGGATGATAGACTGATAGTGTGTGGTTATAGGCAGTGGTTGGGTGACTGGGGTCGCCACATTCAAAAAAAATCATGTTTTTTGTTTTTAATTTAGAGTACAGATTGGTATAATATACAAACTCTTGAGAAATAATTTGAAAAACACCATTTTATAATTTTATTGAGTACATTCATTTATCGGAGAGATTAAAATGTAATGAATAAAAGGTTATTTTGTTGATGTAAAAATCGAAATTTACCCATTTTAGGGTTGTGTCATTTGATTTGTGGTGGGGTGTGGGTTGTGAGAAATTCTGGGGGGAAAAACATTGAATACGACAGCTATAGTCTATTCAGAGCCGTGGTCCAGTCGGGTCCGGTCTGGTCCATCAGCTGTAGTTACATAGACCAGAGACCCATGACAATCAAACATGGATCCAACCCAGACCCGACGGACGAGTTCGAATTTTGGACTCAGACCCGCTTAGTTCCGGAGTCGGGTCTCAGATATTCAGGTAGACCTGTGAAGACCTCTTAGTACGTGTATCTAGATCTATGGTCTGTCTCACCCCTGTCTATGAGCGGCAGCGTGCTGTCTTCATATCCTCCGTTGACCCGGGGCTGGGAGTTGTTGGGGGGGTTGAGATTCACCATGAAGTCTGTCTTCTTCCAGCCATCCTTCTCCAGGGTCTTCCTCAACTCCTTATAGCCCCAAACTAACTGGAGTATCAGGCCTGCACCACGCACCTCTCGCTCTGACCGGTTACTAGGGGGGAGAGGGAGAGGGAGAGAGAGACAGAGAGAGAGAGAGAGAGAGAGAGAGACAGGAGGGTTAGACACCATCTGGAGTAGCAGGACTTACCCACGCACCACTCGCTCTGACCGGTTACTACCAGGGGGAGTCTACAGCTTAAAACAGTTCCATTTATAAAGAGTATCAGAAAGAGAGAGAACTAGACTCAAAAAGAGAGAGCGGGAGAACTAGAGGACTCAGAAAGAGAGAGAGAGAACTAGAGGACTCAGAAAGAGAGAGAGAGAACTAGAGGACTCAGAAAGAGAGAGAGAGAGAACTAGGACTCAGAGAGAGAGAGGGAGAGAGAGAGAGAGAACTAGGACTCAGAGAGAGAGAGAACTAGAGGACTCAGAAAGAGAGAGAGAGAGAACTAGAGGACCCAGAAAGAGAGAGAGAACTAGAGGACTCAGAAAGAGAGAGAGAGAGAGAACTAGAGGACTCAGAAAGAGAGAGAGAGAGAGAACTAGAGGACTCAGAAAGAGAAACAGCATCAAATAGAAAGAGGTGATAGAAATACCCCACAAAACAAAACCATAGGAGACACCCCCAGTCCACCCCAGGGGAGTTCAACTAAACACCCAGTCCACCCCAGGGGAGTTCAACTACACACCCAGTGCACCCCAGGGGAGTTCAACTCCACACCCAGTCCACCCCAGGGGAGTTCAACTCCACACCCAGTCCACCCCAGGGGAGTTCAACTCCACACCAAGTCCACCCCAGGGAGTTCAACTCCAACCCAGTCCACCCCAGGGGAGTTCAACTCACACCCAGTCCACCCAGGGAGTTCAACTACACACCCATCCACCCCAGGGGAGTTCAACTACACACCCGTCCACCCCAGGGAGTTCAACTAAACACCCAGTCCACCCCAGGGAGTAACTAACACCCATCCACCCAGGGAGTTCAACTACACACCCAGTCACCCCAGGGAGTTTCCACATCACCCCAGGGGTTCAACCACACCCAGGGTCACACCCCAGTGGGAGTTCACTCCACACCCAGTCCCACCCCAGGGAGTTCAACTCCACCCAGTCCACCCCAGGGAGTTCAACTAACACCCAGTCCACCCAGGGGAGTTCAACTCACACCCAGTCCACCCCAGGGGAGTTCAACTACACACCCAGTCCACCCCAGGGGAGTTCAACTAAACACCCAGTCCACCCCAGGGGAGTTAACTCCACCAGTCCACCCCAGGGGAGTTCAACTCCACACCCAGTCCACCCCAGGGGAGTTCAACTCCACACCCAGTCCACCCCAGGGGAGTTCAACTCCACACCCAGTCCACCCCAGGGGAGTTCAACTCCACACCCAGTCCACCCCAGGGGAGTTCAACTAGACACCCAGTCCACCCCAGGGGAGTTCAACTCCACACCCAGTCCACCCCAGGGGAGTTCAACTCCACACCCAGTCCACCCCAGGGGAGTTCAACTCCACACCCAGTCCACCCCAGGGGAGTTCAACTAGACACCCAGTCCACCCCAGGGGAGTTAAACTAGACACCCAGTGCACCCCAGGGGAGTTACATTTTACATTTTAGTCATTTAGCAGACGCTCTTATCCAGAGCGACTTACAGTTAGTGAGTGCATACATTTTCATACTGGCCCCCCAGGGGAGTTCAACTTTATCTCTGGAGGGACATGGCTCTTTTGTTTTTTTTTGGTATTTCCTTTCAATTCCTGTCTAATTGATCAGTACAAGGGAGGAGAGATACCCTGCCGGCCCTCAGCCCACCAGCGATTGAGTTTGACACTCCTGTTAAACCCCATCCTTACTGATGGATATAGACACATGAACCTCTTTTTTGTCACACACACACACACACACACACACACACTCCATCTTACCTGTCCTTATTGATGAGCACCAGTCTCTCGATGCCCTGCGAGGCTCTGAGGAGCTTGGCAGCGTCCAGGCTGGAGCCCAGTACCTCATGAAGGGTGCTCAGTACAGACACCACCGTCTCCTCTGACAGAGCCCTCACAGGCTGGCTCTGACCCCCACCAGGCAGGTTGGATACCAGGTGGGGAACTGCATGTTTACCTAGAGAGACAAGAGGTCGAGATTAATAGTTATAGTATGTAAACACACAGGTTAGCTCAGAGAGAGAGAGAGAGAGAGAGAGAGAAAAACAAATGAGTACAGTTGAACAGTTCCACACAAACACTACTAACCCAGCAGGTCTCTGTTGCGTGCGTCAATAGCCAGGTTCCTCAGAGCTCCAGACATGGCCCTGACCACCCGGTCGTTACCATGGGCCAACAGCTCTGTCATCATGGGAAGACCCTTCTCCTGACGCAACAACGCACGGATATACCGCCCATACTGAGAGAGAGAGAGAGAGAGAGAGAGAGAGAGAGAGAGAGAGAGAGAGAGAGAGAGAGAGAGAGAGAGAGAGAGAGAGAGAGAGAGAGAGGAGAGAGAGAGAGAGAGAGAGAGAGGAGAGAGAGAGAGAGAGAGAATAAATACAGATGAATGATTATTCTAGAGTGGGCATTAGTGTTGTTGTGCTCAGGAAATGGACAGACTGTTTTGAGTACTAGACTGTGGTTTAATAAGGGTCTAGAAAGGTGGTGTCTTGGTTGAAGGTGGAGTTTGCGATTATACTGTGGTTGACTTACGGTTCAGGTGTAAAGGGCTGTGTCTTTGTTAGAGGCCAAGGAAGGAGGCTGAAAGGGATGTGTGGTGGTGTCGGACCTGATGGTGGTTGTGTTTGGGTTAAAGTAACAGGCCGTGGTGTCTCAAGGTGTGTGGTGGTGTTGTGGTTGACTCACGGTCCAGCGTCCGGCACACAGGTTCTGCACGGCTCCGGCGGAGGCTTCCAGCACAGTGGGGTTCTTACTCTCCTTCAACAGAGAGGTGTAGACACGCACCACCTCTGGCTGGAACAACAACTCATAACCTGGACACACACAGACGGAGAGGAGGGAGGGAGGGAGAGGAGGGAGGGAGGGAGGGAGGGAGGTACGGAGGGGAGTCAGAAACATGTAGACACTGGTCTTCTCCTTTTCACCTGCACTGATGCTGCATTCACAAATCTCTGACAGTGCGTTCAAGACAACTGGGAACTCAGGGGGAAAAAACTAGCTCCGACTGGGAAAAATCACTTTGAACGGTCATCTAACTCGGAATTCCAAGTCGGAAACTCGGGCCTCCTCCTAGAGCTCTGACTTTCAGACCTGACGATCACTGACATGTTGTCTTGAAAGCATCATGATTTTGAAAGAACTACACAGGTGATAACAATGTGATGGAAGCTCATCAGGCTGGCTGAGCTTTCACCTGGTCACTTCTTTCAGATCAGTACAATAAAGAAGTGGACAGGAGAGATGTTTTTAGACAACTGAGAAAGATTCATATTCTAGTCTACATGACAACACTTTATATTGTGTTACCTTTGGCAGGTGTGGTCCTCTTTGGAATGTCAATCATATCTCCTGCTCCGTCCTCATTATTTCTCCCTGCAACAGAACATCAGAACACTCAGGAACAGACACACAGAACACTCTAGAACCCTCTGCCCACACTATGGTGCTCTAGAACTCTCTGCCACTCTATGGGGCTCTAGAACTCTCTGCCCACTCCATGGGGCTCTAGAACTCTCTGCCCACTCCATGGGGCTCTAGAACACTGTGCCCACTCTATGGGGCTCTAGAACACTGTGCCCACTCTATGGGGCTCTAGAACCCTCTGCCCACTCTATGGGGCTCTAGAACACTCTGCCCACTCTATGGGGCTCTAGAACCCTCTTTTTATTTATTTTTTATTTCACCTTTATTTAACCAGGTAAGCCAGTTGAGAACAAGTTCTCATTTACAACTGCGACCTGGCCAAGATTAAGCAAAGCAGTGCGATAAAAACAACACCACAGAGTTACATATGGAATAAACAAAACGTACAGTCAATAACACAATAGAAATCTATATACAGTGTGTGCAAATGTAGTAAGTTATGGAGGTAAGGCAATAAATAGGCCATAGTGCAAAATAATTACAATTTAGTATTAACACTGGAGTGATAGATGTGCAGAAGATGATGTGCAAATAGAGATACTGGGGTGCAAATGAGCAAAATAAATAACAATGTAAATAACAATATGGGGATGAAGTAGTTGGGTGGACTAATTACAGATGGGCTGTGTACAGGTGCAGTGATCGGTAAGGTGCTCTGACAACTGATGCTTAAAGATAGTGAGGGAGATAAGTGTCTCCAGCTTCAGAGATTTTTGCAGTTCGTTCCAGTCATTTGCAGCAGAGAACTGGAAGGAATGGCGGCCAAAGGAGGTGTTGGCTTTGGGGATGACCAATGAGATATACCTGCTGGAACGCATAATACAGGTGGGTGTTGCTATGGTGACCAATGGTGTTGGACCTGATGGTGGTTGTGTTTGGGCGGGGATTTGCCTAGCAGTGATTTATAGATGACCTGGAGCCAGTGGGTTTGGCGACGAATATGTAGTGAGGGCCAGCCAACGAGAGCGTACAGGTCACAATGGTGGGTAGTATATGGAGCTTTAGTGACAAAACGGATGGCACTGTGATAGACTACATCCAATTTGCTGAGTAGAGTGTTGGAAGCTATTTTGTAAATGACATCGCCAAAGTCAAGGATCGGTAGGATAGTCAGTTTTACGAGGGCATTTTTGGCAGCATGAGTGAAGGAGGCTTTGTTACGAAATAGGAAGCCGATTCTAGATTTAACTTTGGATTGGAGATGCTTAATGTGACTCTGGAAGGAGCGTTTACGGTCTAACCAGATACCTAGGTATTTGTAGTTTTCCACATATTCTAAGTCAGACCCGCCGAGAGTAGTGATTCTAGTCGGGTGGGCAGGTGCAAGCAGCGTTCGATTGAAGAGCATGCATTTAGTTTTACTAGCGTTTAAGAGCAGTTGGAGGCCACGGAAGGAGTGTTGTATGGCATTGAAGCTCATTTGGAGGTTTGTTAACACAATGAAGGGCCAGATGTATACAAAATGGTGTCGTCTGCATTGAGGTGGATCTGAGAATCACCAGCAGCAAGAGCGACATCATTGATATACACAGAGAATAGAGTCGGCCCAAGATTTGAACCCTGTGGCACCCCCATAGAGACTGCCAGAGGTCCAGACAACAGGCCCTGTGATTTGACACATTGAACTCTATCTGAGAAGTAGTTGGTGAACCAGGCGAGGCAGTCATTTGAGAAACCAAGGCTATTTAGTCTGCCAATAAGAATGCGGTGATTGACAGAGTCAAAAGCCTTGGACCAGGTCGATAAAGATGGCTGCACAGTACTGTCTTTTATTGATTGCGGTTATTATATCGTTTAGGACCTTGAGCGTGGCTGAGATGCACCCATGACCAGCTCGGAAACCAGATTGCATAGCGGAGAAAGTACGGTGGGATTCGAAATGGTCTGTGATCTGTTTGTTAACTTGGCTTTCAAATACTTTTGAAAGACAGGGCAGGATGGATATAGGTCTGTAACAGTTTGGATCTAGAGTGTCACCCCCTTTGAAGAGGGGGATGACCGCGGCAGCTTTCCAATCTCTGGGGATCTCAGACGATACGAAAGAGAGGTTGAACAGGCTAGTAATTGGGGTTGCTACAATTTCGGCGGCTAATTTTAGAAAGAAAGGGTCTAGATTGTCTAGCCCAGCTGATTTGTAGGGGTCCAGATTTTGCAGCTCTTTCAGAACATCAGCTATCTGAATTTGGGTGAAGGAGAAGCGGAGGGGGCATGGGCAAGTTGCAGCGGAGGGTGCAGAGCTGGTGGCCGGGGTAGGGGTAGCCAGGTGGAATGCATTGCCAGCTGTAGCAAAATGCTTATTGAAATTCTTGATTATCATAGATTTATCGGTGGTGACGGTGTTTCCTAGCATCAGTGCAGTGGGTAGCTGGGAGGAGGTGCTCTTATTCTCCATGGACTTTACAGTGTCCCAAAACTTTTTGGAGTTAGTGCTACAGGATGCACATTTCTGTTTGAAAAAGCTAGCCTTTGCTTTCCTCGTCACTCTGCCCACTCTATGGTGCTCTAGAACACTCTGCCCACTCTATGGTGCTCTAGAACCACACACCTCTGTGAGCCACTGAAAAAGCTGCTATGTAGGAGCACGCATGCTCACACACACACACTCTCACACGTGCACTTTCTCTCTTACACACATCCTCCTCTACGGGACGGTAGAGAGCATGACAATGCATGCATAGAGTTAGGAGACTGACACAGTAGCATTAGAGTTAGGAGACTGACACAAGCATTAGAGTTAGGAGACTGACACAATAGCATTAGAGTTAGGAGACTGACACAGTAGCATTAGAGTTAGGAGACTGACACAGTAGCATTAGAGTTAGGAGACTGACACAGTAGCATTAGAGTTAGGAGACTGACACAAGCATTAGAGTTAGGAGACTGACACAATAGCATTAGAGTTAGGAGACTGACAGTAGCATTAGAGTTAGGAGACTGACACAGTAGCATTAGAGTTAGGAGACTGACACAGTAGCATTAGAGTTAGGAGACTGACACAGTAGCATTAGAGTTAGGAGACTGACACAGTAGCATTAGAGATAGGAGACTGACACAGTAGCATTAGAGTTAGGAGACTGACACAGTAGCATTATAGTTAGGAGACTGACACAGTAGCATTAGAGTTAGGAGACAGACACAATAGCATTAGAGTTAGGAGACTGACAGTAGCATTAGAGTTAGGAGACAGACACAATAGCATTAGAGTTAGGAAACTGACAGTAGCATTAGAGTTAGGAGACTGACACAGTAGCATTAGAGTTAGGAGACTGACACAGTAGCATTAGAGTTAGGAGACGGACACAGTAGCATTAGAGTTAGGAGACTGACACAGTAGCATTAGAGTTAGGAGACTGACAGTAGCATTAGAGTTAGGAGACTGACACAGTAGCATTAGAGTTAGGAGACTGACACAGTAGCATTAGAGTTAGGAGACTGACACTGTAGCATTAGAGTTAGGAGACTGACAGTAGCATTAGCCAGTCCTAATTAATGCTCTAGCAAGCAGCCAAGCAGAGGTCATCAAAGAGTCAGAGCTTACCTTTAGAACACCACTCGTCTGTTCCACAGCAGAAAGAAGGAGAGGAGAACGAGGGAGGAGGATGGAGGGCGGGAGGAATGATGGAAGGAGAGGAGAAAGGAAGTTCATTTCAGTCTGAGCGAGAACAGCAGTAGTGACCCAGCCACCCAAACACCTCCACAGCTCCTCCCACCAAAGCACCAAGCATAGCTCAACTGTAGACTTAGATTAGAAACTATCCCAGCAAAAACACACACTAATGTGCATGCCAGCACACAGACAGACACACAAAGACAAACCATCAAAAACAAAATGTCAGAGAGAAACAAACAAATAATTTATATCACAGACAGACATCAGACACACAGACAGTAAGGATAGAGTGAGACCATTCTTTAGGATGGGGTAAACAGAGACCATTCTTTAGGATGGGGTAAACAGAGACCATTCTTTAGGATGGGGTAAACAGAGACCATTCTTTAGGATGGGGTAAACAGAGACCATTCTTTAGGATGGGGTAAACAGAGACCATTCTTTAGGACGGGGTAAACAGAGACCATTCTTTAGGACGGGGTAAACAGAGACCATTCTTTAGGACGGGTAAACAGAGACCATTCTTTAGGACGGGGTAAACAGAGACCATTCTTTAGGACGGGGTAAACAGAGACCATTCTTTAGGACGGGGTAAACAGAGACCATTCTTTAGGACGGGGTAAACAGAGACCATTCTTTAGGACGGGGTAAACAGAGACCATTCTTTAGGACGGGGTAAACAGAGACCATTCTTTAGGACGGGGTAAACAGAGACCATTCTTTAGGACGGGGTAAACAGAGACCATTCTTTAGGACGGGGTAAACAGAGACCATTCTTTAGGATGGGGTAAACAGAGACCATTCTTTAGGATGGGGTAAACAGAGACCATTCTTTAGGACGGGGTAAACAGAGACCATTCTTTAGGACGGGGTAAACAGAGACCTGTCTGCTGTCTGTCTTTCCTGCTACACTGTCACTATACTACACACACACACTCTAAAGTCAACAATTACATCACTCTCACTCTCCATCTGTCTTCCACACACATAATATAAACACTCTCACACAGGAGAACACAGACACACCCACCTTTGCCCCTGCGGGAGCTGAAGCGGTTGGTCTTTCCAGTGGAGGGGGCGGGGCCCTGGTTGAGGGACATGGCTTCCTGGTAGCGCTCAGCGCCCGGCACCTCCCGGTGCACCTAAGGTCAAATCACAATTAGAATTATATAGTATAATATTGCTTATTTAAAGACATGCTCCGGAACTTTGCTGACTCCTAAGTAATTTTTTAACCCTCCCGCTTTGGGCTGATGTGTCAATATGTACTTCATGCATTCATAATCTATGAGCAGAATTACTGTCTTACTTCAATTAGCCATGAAATCCCTAGTTTGAAAGCATCTTTTTCTGGAAGCTGTGCTGCGCCATTTTCCCTACATTTTACCCCATGTGGGCCAACACCCTAGCAATTCAAGTTCTAGCCAATGAGCTTCAGCCCCTCGTCATTTGAGTGACAGCTAGCAAGATGCACACACAACAGAGTGAGAGAGAGCAGTGACGTGGTGCACATATCTATGCATATGTGACGTAGTACGCAATTTTCAGGGACCACTTTTGGCTCGTGAGCGCTACTTTCAGAACTGTGAAAAGTGTTGTCACGATACCAGAATTTCGACTGCGATACAGATACCAGGTTTAGTATCATGATACTCGATACAGTACCAAAACGATACCATGGCAAAAAAACGATACCATGGCCAAAGTCACAGAATGGCACTTGATCCAGACAGATCTTCGAGTTCAATATCATTACATTTTAAATGTGTAGTGTAGTGAAATCGTTTTTTTACTAATCTAACTCCATAACAACATAATGGTAATCATTTATTTGAATGGTAAATCTCTATTGATAAACTGGGTAAATCAAGATTTGCATAGAAGAAGCAATCTCATTTTATAAAAGTGTGCACTGTCTCTTTAAGACCCATGACATCATTTACACACACAGTCAGTTCAAAGCTCAAGCAAATATGATCTTGACTGGGAAAGAAATGAGGCGGGAGAGACGAAGTGAATTAATAAAGGTTTTGGTTACAATCAGCTTTGAAATCAGAAATATTTTTCGTTATGGTTTGAATGTCATCACAAACAAGGTAGTAGGGTATTGAATTGATGTTAGCTTCAGCTGTAAGCTAGCAAGGAAAATGTTCCTACAAAGCTGGAAGCTACCGCTATCTTCTTGCATTGTAAAGTGTTCTAGCCTGTAATGGACATTGTTTTGCTAACAGTAATTAACAGTTTCAACATTTCTATATGCCGTGTTGCTTTATTAAAGTGTGTTAACTTCTGTGCAACACGATGATGCAGCCCGGACTCCCAGTGAGTGCAGTGGTTCCTCAGAACAGGCTAGAGCCAGCAGTGGGTAAGTGGAGCAGGCACAGTGCTCTGGCGCTATAAGGGGACATCGTCTACGCTGATAAACAGACTTGATCCTCTCTCAATCAGTAGACGACGTGAGACTCATTTGACACAAGCACCAAAAGTAACATTAATTCCAGTACCAAACCGTTTGTCATGTTCTGGTATCGAAAACGTACAGAGGTTTGGGAATACCGTGCAACACTAACAACTACTGGCTAATAAAGCCCACAGAAGTACCAGAGAATCTCTTTAAAAGTCCAATTCAAAAGGTCACAGAAGGCAGAAGAAAACACTAGAAAGAAACAGGGGAGAAAGGGGAACATTATCAACAACAACAATACCTGATAGGACAGATTCCTCAGCAGACACATACTGTTCTCTATCAGCTGGAGAGAGAGAGAGAGAGAGAGAGAGAGAGAGAGAGAGAGAGAGAGAGAGAGAGAGAGAGAGAGAGAGAGAGAGAGAGAGAGAGAGAGAGAGAGAGAGAGAGGAGAGAGAGAGAGAGAGAGAGAGAGAGAGAGAGAGAGAGAGAGAGAGAGAGAGAGAGAGAGAGAGAGAGAGAGAGAGAAAAGGAAACAGGATTAAAATATATGCGGGCACACAATCAAAGTTCAGGATCACGTTGAAAGGATAGCAAGAAAAACAGCATTGTGTGCGCATGCGCACCTTGTTGTCCACGTCTTTCAGGTTTATCTGTGATTGGACGATGTACATGAGCGAGTCGACTAATCCTGTGCACTCTCTCAGCTTCCTCCTGGCCTCACTGCGCTCTGAGCTCACGTTCCTGTTTTAGAGAGAGAGCGAGAGAGGGGGGAGGAGAGGGAGAGAAGGGGTGTGTGAGAAAGCAAAATAACAAGCAATACAGAAACAGAGGGACAGAATAAAATGGACAGAGAGAGAGAGAGAGAGAGAGAGAGAGAGAGAGAGAGAGAGAGAGAGAGAGAGAGAGAGAGAGAGGCAGAGAGAGTGAGAGAGAGAGGCAGAGAGAGAGAGAGAAAGACAGAAAGACAGAGAGAGAAAGACAGAGAAAGACAGAGAGAGAGAGACAGAGAGAGAGTGGAATGAGAGTGGCTACTATCAGTGGCCACATAAGGATTCCAGCACACAACACAACCATTAGTAATAAAACACTGAGCGGTCCTATTTCAGTGTGCTGGTTTCAGAGACTGAGAGACTGAAAGACTGAAAGGGTGTGGCTCCGTCCCAAAAGACACCCTATTCTCTATGTGGTGCACTAAAGTTAGGGATGCCAAAAGTAGTGCACTACATAGGGCGCCATTTAGGATGCAGCCTGTGGTGGTTAAACTCCAGTGTAGTGAGATGGTAGTTCAGGTTACTGGGCCAGTCATTGTGTTGTAGCCTGCCTTTAACAGAGAGAGAGACCCACCCACCGTAGAAGACAGCACATTCCCACTCTGCCCTACCGTTAGGGAATTCCTCAGGCACACATGTACAGACATGCACATACACGCACCACTGCAAGATGAACACACAGCTACCACTCACTCATGGACTACACATGGCTGTTTTAGTGCTGGCCGATACATCTTCAATACTGGTATGTCTTTTTACAATGCCGTCTATAACGATATTTTCATACAGTGCTAAGTTAAATGAAAAGTTCAACAAATTGGACGACTTCACGGTCAGTTTGGTCCTAGTTTGGTTGAGTATAAAACCATCAGAATAGAGAAAGTCCAGTAAAAAGCATTAAGAATTAATCCGTTGAAATTCTAGGGTCAAGGTTCAAGCATTAAACATATTTAGAACTTTTATTATTCAGAAAACATAAAATACCGTTAAAAAATGAGAAACGTATTGTGATATGATATTCTGGCCATATCACCCTCTTCTTCCTCCCACTATACAATCGCTCCATCCCCCTCTCTGTACCTCAGACAGCCAGCTGTGTTGGTGAGGGCCGTCTCCCACTCCAGGTGTCGGGGTTTGAGGTTTTCCTCTCCTCCTCCCTCATTGCCCCTCTCCCAGCCCGAGTGCGGCACCATCACCTCGTCTGAGAGGGCGTGCAGCGCGTGGTCAACGATCTCCATCTTCACGGAGTCGTGAGACGACAGGTTCCACAGCGTGCCTGAGGAAGAGGGAGACGGATCATCATCACTACCATCATCACCACCACTACTACCGTCACCACCACCGTCACCAGTACCACCGGCATCAACATTATCCTAATATCTGCTTATTTAGATAAACAATGAGAGAAATGAAAACAGTTGAGAAAACACTCCATAACACCTCAACCTCAAACTATGAAGTCAGGTTTCAGATTGTTGAAGTGGTAATACTACACTTATACACTACCGTTACCCACTTATAGTAGTAATACTACACTTATACACTACCGTTACACACTTATAGTAGTAATACTACACTTATACACTACCGTTACCCACTTATAGTAGTAATACTACACTTATACACTACCGTTACCCACTTATAGTAGTAATACTACACTTATACACTACCGTTACCCACTTATAGTAGTAATAACTACACTTATACACTACCGTTACCCACTATAGTAGTAATACTACACTTATACACTACCGTTACCCACTATAGTAGTAATACTACATATACACTACCGTTACCACTTATAGTAGTATCTACATTATACACTACCGTTACCCACTTATAGTAGTAATACTACACTTATACACTACCGTTACCCACTGTAGTAGTAATACTACACTTATACACTACCGTTACCCACTATAGTAGTAATACTACACTTATACCATACGTTACCCACTTAGTAGTAGTAATACTACACTAGTAACTGTAGTACGCAGTAGTATTACTGTATACATAGTAGCTACTGGTTACCACATAGTAGTAATATAATTATAAACAGCAGTATACTGGTAGTAACAGCACTAGTATACTGGTAGTAACAGCAGTAGTATACTTAGTAACAGCAGCAGTATATGGTAGTAACACAGCAGTATACTGTTCAACAACAGCAGTATACTGGTAGTAACAGCAGTAGTATACTGGTAGTACATCGAGTAGTACTGGTAGTAACGCAGTAGTAACTAGTAGTAACAGCAGTAGTATACTGGTAGTAACAGCAGTAGTATACTGGTAGTAACAGCAGTAGTATACTGGTAGTAACAGCAGTAGTATACTGGTAGTAACAGCAGCAGTATACTGGTAGTAACAGCAGCAGTATACTGGTAGTAACAGCAGTAGTATACTGGTAGTAGCTAACAGAAGCAGATATACTGGTAGTAACAGCACGTATATACTAGTAGTAACAGCAGTAGTATACTGGTAGTAACAGTCAGTCAGTATACTGGTAGTAACAGCAGTAGTATACTAGTAGTAACAGCAGTAGTATACTGGTAGTAACAGCAGTAGTATACTGGTAGTAACAGCAGTAGTATACTGTAGTAACAGCAGTAGTATACTGGTAGTAACAGCAGTAGTATACTAGTAGTAACAGCAGTAGTATACTAGTAGTAACAGCAGTAGTATACTGGTAGTAACAGCAGTAGTATACTGGTAGTAACAGCAGTAGTATACTGGTAGTAACAGCAGTAGTATACTGGTAGTAACAGCAGTAGTATTACCTGTGATAGTATCGGTCAGGTCTTGGTCTCTGGTCTTCCTCAGTAGTCTGACCAGGGCCGGTATTCCATCACAGTTCTTGATGGCGATCTTATTGTCAGCGTCTCGTCCGTAAGATATGTTTTTGAGCGCGCCGCAGGCAGCGTGGTGAACCTCCTTCTTAGGGTTGTCTAACATGGACACCAGGGATGGGATACCTTTCATACGACGGACATCTGTCTTCACCTGGAGGGGAGGGAGGAGAAGGGAGGGGGGAGGGGGAGAGGAAGGAGAGGAAAGGGAAGGAGGGAGAGAGGAGAGGAAGGAGAGGAGGGAGAGAGAGGGATGGAGGGAGAGAGGAGAGGAGAGGAAGGAGAGGTGTTAGTGGTTGTGTCTTGCTCTCATTCTGACATGAAAGACAGTAGCTAGGTAGCCTGCAGCATGGCTGTGTTTATGAATAGATAAAGGGTGTGTGTGTGTGTGTGTGTGTGTGTGTGTGTGTAATCAAATCTAATTTTATTCGTCACATGCTTGGTAAACAACAAGCGTAGACTAACAGTGAAATGCTTACTTATGGGCCCTTCAAAAATGCAGACAGAGAGAAAATTGAAAAAATAGAAAAAGAATAACACTTATTAACAAAAGTAATAATAAATACACAATGAGTAACGATAGAAGGGGTACCAGTACGGGGTGGATGTGCAGGGGTACGAGGTCATTGAGGTAGATATGCAAGGGGCTGTGAAGGTGAGGTGCTGCAGGTAGTGGCTGTGTGTATATAAAGAAAGTGTGTATAGATAAAGATATTACCTTGTCGTTCTTAAAGGTAAGGTGCTGCAGGTGTAGAAATTACCTTTTCGTGTGTATTAAAGCCAAGTGTGTGTGTGTATGTGTGTGTGTGTGTGTGTGTGTGTGTGTGTGAGAGAGAGAGTGAGTGAATGTGTGGCATGGGAGAGAGGGAGAGAGAGAGAAGTGGGGGATGTTCTGCCCATGCAACCTAGCTAGCTATGTAGCTCGTAACTTACGGGACCTGTGTGTGTTTGTAGTTGAGCGAGTGAGTGAGTGAATATATTTGTCCAAATGACAGGTTACATAAATGCATGAAATGGCCATCTATAGTTATCACATACCTTTAATATCAAACATGGCCCATTTACAATACTAGTAAAAGTGTGTGTGTGTGTGTGTGTGTGTGTGTGTTCACGCATGCATTTCAATGAGTGCAGGTTGTGTGTAATTTGTGTGTTATAGAAAGTGTGTTGATATTACTAAATGTATTTACTAGAATAGATTATAACGATGACTGAATGTTAAAGAATTATACATTGCTATTCGTCTTATTTTTCAGATGAAAAACATCTAGTGCTCATTGGCAAGATCGCTGGTTCCATGGAAACCTCTGCAAGGAAACGGTCAGCTCAAAAAGGAGCCAACAAAAGAAAGGAAACATCAGAGGACATGATCTGCAGTGAAACATTCTATCTAGCTATATAAACCATACCTCTCCGCAAACACGCCATCTCCGATGTTGGTTACAAGTACCGCCTTGTAACCAACATCGGAGAAGATGTGTTTGCATAAGTACTGCCTTGTAACCAACATCGGAGAAGGTGTGTTTGCATAAGTACTGCCTTGTAACCAACATCAGAGAAGGCAAGTTTGCAGAGGAGCGTGGTTTATATAGATAAATAGCTACTCCACTGGTGCCAAAATGTGACTGTAGGGTGTCAGCAAATATAATTCCAAGTTTACCCTATTCATCTATGGCAAAGATCCTTATACGTTTCCCCTGTCATCCGTGTCTGGTGTTAGCGCGTTACTGGCTAGCTAGGTCTTCAGCCAGCATGGAACACAAGGAAGGAGAGGAGGATATGTCGTTCACAACTCTGACGCAGTTGTCATGCCAACACATCTGTCAGTGCTGCTGTGAACCGCATCACAAAACACATTCTAAACGGGATATGTATATAAAAAATATATACAATTGATCCAATTTCAATGTTGTTTGAGTTCCTTTGAGTATCACCACATTTGCTTGAGATGATTTTACTTCAACACTGCATCCAAGTTGCTTGACATGGGCGTTTCATGCATGTGCACGTACACATGCGTTCAAACACGTGCACACCGCATGTAGTCTTCGCACATGTCGTGGCATGAACATGTGACGTGCGCGTGTTTCTCTGTCATGTACGTGCACGTGTGAACATAAGTGAATGTAGCCAATACATTCTGTTGCTTGTACGTGTTCACATGTGGGTATGTATACATGTGCACATGACAACGATGCAGACAGACACTATGTCAATATAGTTAGAGCAAGATGGAATTTATATGTAGTGTGAGTGTGTGAGAGAGAAAGAAAGAACATGTTAATGGATTTCATGTATTATGTTTTGTATTAAGTTGATATTCATTCTTTGAATAAACGTCTTAAAAGTAACTGCAAACTTTGACTTAGTTGGTGTGGGGACACTACATGTAAATGGCACATAACTCGTTTGATATTTGGAGTAGAGAGATCATGTTGGCCTCATTACGAAGCTAACATTCTCTTCTTTCCAGCACTGTCTAAAATTCCAAATGGTTTTTGGGTCAATGTGACTGATTATGTAGAGCAAGTCACATGTTACCTTGTCGTTCTTAAAGGTGAGGTGTATTGGTCGCGTTCCCCTGCTCAGACGTTGCTTGCATCAACCAATGGTTACGTGCCACGTCATCGACTAACTGATTGCTTTAACATATGATGTGGTTAGCCGATACATAAAATATCCAGGCGTTGTAAGATCTGGCAGGCGTCAGCAACACCTGGGCAGAGGAACATGCCCATTACTTTGTCGTTCTTAAAGGTAAGGTGCTGCAGGTGTATAAATTACCTTGTCGTTCTTAAAGGTGAGGTGCTGCAGGTGTATATATTACCTTGTCGTTCTTAAAAGGTGAGGTGCTGCAGGTGTATATATTACCTTGTCGTTCTTAAAGGTGAGGTGCTGCAGGTGTATAAATTACCTTGTCGTTCTTAAAGGTGAGGTGCTGCAGGTGTATAAATTACCTTGTCGTTCTTAAAGGTGAGGTGCTGCAGGTGTATAAATTACCTTGTCGTTCTTAAAGGTGAGGTGCTGCAGGTGTACATATTACCTTGTCGTTCTTAAAGGTGAGGTGCTGCAGGTGTATAAATTACCTTGTCGTTCTTAAAGGTGAGGTGCTGCAGGTATGCGGCAGCGTTGCTCTTGACGGGGTCCAGTCTGTAGTTAAGCATGGCGATGACCTCCGGCAGCTCAGGCTGTCTCCAGGAAGTGGCGGCGGGGCCTTTCCTCAGGGTGCTGGCCAATCAGATAAGAGAATATATATATATATATATATAACACTTTCAACCAAAGCGACTTACAGTAGTGAAGGTAAATTCCAAATCTGGACCTTGAATCTAGTTCTACTGCTGAATATCATTCTTCCCCTCTAATTAGGGACTGACTTAGACCTGGGACACAAGGCGGGTGCAATTAATGATCAGGTAGAACAGAAAACCAGCAGTAATCCGGACAAGTCCTAAAATTAACTTTTTGTTCCACCAGCCACTGTGGCAGGTAGATTTAAAGATCTACCAGCCACTCAGATTTTATACCAGCCAAAATATTTCCCCCCCCTAAAATTACACCAACTAAACACAAAGAAAACAGATGAGCATGCTTTGTAATGTTTCTAAAACAATACATGTATTACTAGTAAGAAGTAATGAGGTATATTGTTTCATTTCATTTTTTGTGACCAGAGTCTTTTAACAAGAATGATCACCTGCCCCGTTAAGGGCGGGAGGTTACCGTGGTAACGCGCCTGGATTCATGTTTGTGCCTGACTGGCAGCAGGGTTGTTTTCTCTTCTCTAGCATTTAAAACTCAAAACATTGAAAAACAACCTCGCTTGTGAACAAAACACATGTAAATAGCCAAGGAACACAAGGACACAGTCTCACTTCAGTAGACTTTAGCTTCAAGTCAATTAGATTAACTTTTATTCCTGTGCGCAGCGCTGCTAAAAATGAATCTTTCACTCAGCTCTTCACAGGCTCCCAGCCCCCTGCCAGGCAGTGTTGCAGTGCGACGTGGGATAGGCTATACTGTAGGATTCCTAGTTCTTTGACTTTGTGCGATTAATTTACCAGCTATGAAACAAAACGGCAGAAATACTTTGAAAACAGCTACTGCAGCATTTAATTGACTATAAATGTGATCATACTTAACAATTTTGTATTCACAAATGTGAGTGAAATGCACGAACTGTGGAGCCCTGATCCACCTGCCAACGTGGCTGGTGAAATAGACATCTGACCCGCCAATGCCAAAATCTACCCGCGTTCGGCAGGTGGAGGGTGTTCATTTTAGGCCCTGGTCCGGACCTCCAGGCTTGGATTTGAATACCCCTGATATATCAAAAATATATGCCACCAAGGAGTCTCACCTGTCCAATGAGGCCATGCTACCCCTCTCTCCCTGGGCCAGGGGTGCACCACCCCAGTAGTACATGTCCCCAGCTCCACTCATGTCTCCATCCAGAGTCCCTTCATAGCTCCTGGGAGGGGAGAGAAGAGGTAGGGGGTTAGTATGGAGTGGACACTACTCCTGGGATGGGATGGGAGGTAGAGATAGGGGTTAGTAGGGAGTGAACACTACACCGACAGGGGTTAGTATGGAGTGGACACTACACCGACAGGGGTTAGTATGGAGTGGACACTACACCGACAGGGGTTAGTATGGAGTGGACACTACACCGACAGGGGTTAGTATGGAGTGGACACTACACCGACAGGGGTTAGTATGGAGTGGACACTACACCAACAGGGGTTAGTATGGAGTGGACACTACACCGACAGGGGTTAGTATGGAGTGGACACTACACCGACAGGGGTTAGTATGGAGTGGACACTACACCGACAGGGGTTAGTATGGAGTGGACACTACACTGACTGAATAACCAACCAGGGATAGAGAAAGGGAGACCAGACATTAAGGCACAAATACAGCGACAGAAATGTCACACACACAACCTTTCAGATCAACACACACACCCCCCCCCTTCCACACACTGGTGTCTGTACCCTGTCCTGCGGGGCGGTCCGTGGTTAAAGGCGTGCTGGTTGCGTGGTACTGTCCCGTAGTGGATGGCCGGTCCCATGCCGTAGTCTGCCTCGTCATATCCCACACTCCTCTGGTCATCTTCCAGACCATACGGCTCCGCGACAAACCTCTGCATCCCCGACAGCTCCAACGCACTGCCCATACGACCCACCTGACCAATACAATTTCATCACATGTTAATACACACTCTGCAGTCTCCACAGCAACAACACATTGGCCATACGACCCACTTTATTTAACACGACCCACCTGTGGCTGTGCTGCGTATGGGTCCAGCTGGTTCCTGCTGATGGCTCTGTATCCTGAGTCCAGGGTCCGGTACCCATCCGCTGGCCTGGAGGGGGAGAAGTGGGGAGGGGAGAGGAGAAGAGGGGGGGGAGGAGAGGAGAGGGGAGCGTTGAGGAGGAGAGCGGGGGAAAAGAGATGATATATCTATTGTCTCCCAACTCCACTCCTATGGTTAAGAAACAACAGATCCCACAGAAGAGTTCTCTGTCATCTTCATCTATCCTACCTGTAGCGGTCGTCCATGCGTGCTCCCCTGCTCAGGCTGGCGTAGGTCTCCCCTATGGAGGGAGGGCCCTGGCGGTAGTCGTCGTACCCCGCCGGGGGTCCGTACTGGTAGTTTCGGGGCACGGTGTTGGTGGGGTAGTCCATGGGAGGCCCTGGCTGTCTGTAGACCCGCTCCATGGGGGTGGTGTAACCCCCCATACCTGTCATAGACCCCCCTCCATCCAGGGAGAGGTTGTCAGACACAGAGGGGATGACTGTACGAGTCATGGTAGTCTTCACTACCTTCTTTACCTGGGGAGAGGAGGGAGGAGGGAGGAGAGGGGGAGGAGGGAGGAGAGGGGGAGGAGAGGGGGAGGAGGGAGGAGGGAGGAGAGGGGGAGGAGAGGGGGAGGAGGGAGGAGAGGGGGAGGAGGGAGAGGAGGGAGAGGAGGGGGAGGAGGGAGAGGAGGAAGGAGAGGGGGAGGAGAGGAGAAACAGATACAAGGTTAGTGTCGGACATGGTGTGAATGACCGTACGAGTCAGGGGAGGGGGAGAGAGGTTGGAGAGGAAAAGGAGGAGGGGAGAGAAAGAGAAGAAAATATAAAAGAGAGAAAGTAGGAGGTGTGGAGGCAGAAATGGTCAGTCAATTAGCTAATGTAATTCACAATCCTCAAGTGTCAACTGTGTGTGTGTGTGTGGTGTGTGTGTGTTGTGTGTGTGTGTGTGTGTGTGTGTGTGTGTGTGTGTAAAGATAGTACCGTAGTTTCTGTGCGGCGCGTGGTGCCATCTTCGCTGGTTTCCACGGAGATGACGGGGGGAGCTTCCTGAGGGTCCTCCTCCACGGTAAACGTCTCCTGAACGGCGTGACCCGGCTCCATCCTGTACTGAAGAACAGAGACAGACACCGTTACACACACACACACACTATACTGGACACCAGACAGACACCGTTACACACACACAATATAAAACGCACACACACAATATAAAACGCACACAGATAAATGCACACACAGGATTCACATCAAATGCACACTAGCAGACTTAATTAACACAGGTGAACACACACACACACAGAGATACATAAAGACTGACAGACACACAACTGACAAAGATAAATACATATTCAGGTACAGACACACAGCTTACATGTGTCCCGTTGACGTATCCCTCGTTCAGTGTGAGCCTCTCTATGTCCGCATCACAAGAAACACGGCCATTCTGTAGAGCAGAGGGGAAGATGGGAGCTGTTTACACAAGAGGACACAGTGTGTGTGTGTGTGTGGGTGGTGTGTGTGGTGTGTGTCGACAGCAGTGGCCAGTGGCCAAGGAGGAGCAGAGTTATTCCAAACATTCAGAGGAGAAGGTTAATGCAGGACACAGAGAGAATGTCATTACATCAGAGCCCCAGGCTCATTTCACACACAGGGACAACACCCACAAACCACTATCCCGTTCAGTCAATCCAGACATCCCGCAGAACATCACCTCATTTAAGCAGAAATACAGTAAATACAAAGTCGACAAAACAATCCAACAATTGATGAAGCGAATTAAAAAACATGAATGGATGGACAGAATGGGTGAGTCATGGAGGAGGACGACAGACCGGTTTAGAGCAACAGTGTTGCCAGCTAGAAAGAGAGAGAGAACCTCAGAGAGAGCAGGGCGTGTGAGAACCTGTCAGTGGGTGGTCGGCTGTGTCAGTGTGCTTCTCAGTGTGTGTGTGTGTCTCAGTGTGTGTGTGTGTGCGCCTGTCAGCTATGTAAACAGGGTGAAGACCAGGCACATTCCAACCCTCTGTCTGTTCTCCAGAGATACAACACTGACTGACCAGACCAACCCTGAGAGAGAGGAGAGGAGACTACGTGACTGTGTTTTACATGTGACGTGTTTATAAAATGTCTGAGGGTGGTAAAATTACACGCCTCAGTGTGTTTGCTTACCAGGCAGTGTGTGTGTGTGTGTGTGTGTGTGTGTGTGTGTGTGTGTGTGTGTTCACAAGTAATCTAAAGCTATGCGGTCACTATGTTCAGATAGGGGAGCCGGACACTGAGTCACAGACACTAAACAGGAAGTGGACATTGTAGACAGTAACATAGTCCAGGGATTGGACAAAACCCAACCGGTTATGAATCAAGCGGGCAACGGTAAGAATGTGTAAAAATAAAGGGGATTTTTCTCCTCCGTTCTCCCCTCTGCTCTGTGTGCACATGCTGCTCTTCCTTCAGAAAAGCATGCATCACAACTTTGTTCATTTGCACAATTTCTCACTTACGCTTGTAAATGTCACCAGAAATGACATTCAGTAGCTACTAGCAATGCTTGTATAACTTTATGAGCTGGATTCGCCTATCTTTGCAATTAGTTTATGTTCATTTTCACTCGTTAGCATTTAGCTAACAGCGTCTATGTGATTTCACTATTTGTTTGTAAAAAATGTGTTAGCATTCTGGTAATAGAGGCCCAATGGGCTTTTCTTGTGTTTTTAGCGCCCCCTTGTGAATCCTGGTATGAGAGAAGGACGGCATAACCATATGAAAATCTGGATACCGCCCAAGCCTAATACACAGCACCCCTGTGCTTTAAATAGACCGGTCTAACTGGACCCGTTTCCCTTTGGAGGGGGGGGGGGGGGGGGCAGGAGATCAACAGATGTGTTTCACTGGTGTTCCCCACCTAGACTGAACAAGAGCAGGGGTGTATTCAGTGAAGTTAAAGTTGCAGATAGAAATGTAACGAATAGAGCCAACACGAATTCCCCTATTCTACCTGACAGATAAACATGTCTGTTTTTACATGATACATTTCTCTCCGATAGGCTTTGGTGATATATACCGTTTATACCGTACACCGGGGTACTTCGGAATGCCGACGGTATGATTTTTAATACAGTTTATGAAAATAAATACAAATATTATTATTTATTTTTTTGGAGGGGGGTTGGGGGAACCGAGGCGGGGGCTGCGTGCTACGCCACTGCTTAAGTTAAGGATAACTACAAGTCGTCTAAGATGTGTCAAATCGTTTATATCCAGCTCAGGGCTCCAGCTTTGCATTTGGTTTGCTGACTTGCTAGCTAAGTGGCTAGATGTCTAGATCAAGCTTCTTGGTTACAGCGGAGACATTCTAGCCTGAGTACCAGTCTCTGTAGCTAACATTCCACTCCTTGCCACTCCTCGTCTTTGAGAGAGACTGACCTTTCTGCCATCTTCAAATATGAACATTCTACCGTTAATGAGTTCGAGGAGAACAGAGGAGTTGATCCTGATTCGATAACCCTCACAGCTATCCTCCAATCGCAACTCTGCTGTAAATCCAGCTGCACATCGAACGTTGAGATTGCCGAATGGCCAGTCTCTTTGGAGTGGCAAAGAGTGGACTGTTAGCTAAAAAGACTGGTACCCAGACTAGAGACTTTCAATCCCCTCCTGGATCAAGATCCCTGTTGCCTAAATTGTTTTGTGCGTAAAAATAATAATACATATATCAGTTTGTTTTTTTATAGCGCCCCTTGTGTGCACTTCTGGTAATACCGTCTACCCGGTATGGTATAGAAACGGTATGAACATCTGGATACCGCCCAACCCTACTATCTGAACGATCTGTAATGTTCTGTAACCTTCCTGAACCACAAGTCTGTTGCAATGCGTAACTGCAAGAACAACCAGATGTGAGACCAGGCACCAGGCTACATTCACATGGCATGCACATACACAGAGATGAGCTGGGGGTTAGTTAGACACAAAGCGGTTTCCACCATGGCCTGGGACAGAGGCCAGCCTGACAGCATGAGGGACTGAAGCGGACTGTCATGATAGGGTGGATCAATTATGGCTACAGGAAGGGTTGAACAATGATGGAACGAGGCGGGTCGACGGTAAGCTAGTTGGGGTGAGGCGATGGGTGATACCATGGAGACTAGGATTGCAAAATTCCACAGGTTTTCCGGAAATCCTCCAATTTCCTGCTTATTCCCTCCTGGTAGATATCAGAATGTTGCAACCCTAACGGCAGCTATGGAGGTGATGGCATGGATAGTTCCAAGGACGGTTGAAGGATGATGAAACAAGGAGGGACGATGGTAAAACAGCTGGGGTGAGGCGAGAGGAACGGGTGATACCATGATGGCTATGGGGGTGATGGGTGATCCCATGGGGGCGAGGGCGTTACCTGTAGAGTGGGGGGAGGGCGCGGGAGGGTGCCTCCACACCTCCTCTCCTCCTCCAGAGCACGAGTCAGACGCTCAAACTGCCGCTCCTGTTCACGCACAGAGGCCAGGAGAGAGGCGGCACTCTCACACTGCTCCATTCACACTGAGTAGAGAGGAAGGACAGGGTTAAACCACCTAGCACCACACTGAGGAGACAGGACAGGGTTAAACCACCTAGCACCACACTGAGGAGACAGGACAGGACAGGGTTAAACCACCTAGCACCACACTGAGGAGACAGGACAGGGTTAAACCACCTAGCACCACACTGAGGAGACAGGACAGGGTTAAACCACCTAGCACCACACTGAGGAGACAGGACAGGGTTAAACCACCTAGCACCACACTGAGGAGACAGGACAGGACAGGGTTAAACCACCAAGCACCACACTGAGGAGACAGGACAGGACAGGGTTAAACCACCAAGCACCACACTGAGGAGACAGGACAGGGCTAAACCACCTAGCACCACACTGAGAGGACAGGACAGGGTTAAACCACATAGCACCACACAAAGAGGAAGGACAGAGTTAACCTGGCACACACACAGAAGAAACCGTTTTTTAAACCACATTCCATACTCAGTTCTATTCACACAGAGCGAGAGCGAGAGTTAACCCACAAACACACATTACGGTGATGCTGTACAGAGAAGCAGCAGGGTGACAGGATGCTAATCACCTCCACACTCAGAGATGAACAGCATGAGAGAGAGGAGAGAAGGAGAGGGAGGCAGGCAGGGCAGGAGGAGAGAGAGAGGAGAGAAGGAGAGGGAGGCAAGGACAGGGCAGGAGGAGAGAGATAGGGAGGAGAGGAGGAAGCGGGCAGGGCAGGGGAGAGAGGAGAGGAGAGGATAGGGAGGATAGGGGGAAGGGCAGGAGGAGAGGAAGGGGAGAGGAAGGGCGGGAGGCAGGAGGGATATGGGGGGAGAGAGAAGGGAGGAGAGGAGGGCAGGGAGGGCAGGGAGGAGAGAGATAGGGAGGAGAGGGAGGCAGGCAGGGAAGGAGCAGGAGAGAGAGAGGATAGGGAAGGAGAGGGAGGCAGGCAGGGCAGGAGGAGAGAGATAGGGAGGAGAGGAGGAGGAGGGCAGGAGGAGAGAGATAGGGAAGAAGAGGGGAGCAGGGCAAGGGAAGGGCAGGAGGAGAAGAGATAGGGAGGGGAGGAGAGGCGAGGGCAGGCAGGAAGGCAGAGGAGAGAGATAGGGAGAGAGGGAGGCAGCAGGGAAGGCAGGGAAGGGCAGGAGGAGAGAGATAGGGAGGAGAGGGAGGCAGGCAGGGCAGGAGGAGAGAGATAGGGAGGAGAGGGAGGCAGGCAGGGCAGGAGGAGAGAGATAGGGAGGAGAGGGAGGCAGGCAGGGCAGGCAGGAGGAGAGAGATAGGGAGGAGAGGAGGCAGGCAGGGCAGGAGGAGAGAGATAGGGAGGCGAGGGAGGCAGGCAGGGCAGGAGGGGAGGAGATAGGGAGGAAAGGCAGGGAGGAGGAGGAGGAGGAGAGATAAGGAGGAGAGGAGCGGAAGGGCAGGGCAGGAGGGGAGAGATAGGGAGGAGAGGGAGGCAGGCAGGGCAGGAGGAGAGAGATAGGGAGGAGAGGAAGGGAGGGGAGATACAGGAAAGAGAAGGCGAGAAGGGGGAGAGGAGAAGAGGAGGAAGAGAGAGGTAGAAGCAGAAGGAAATATGCCGAGTTACAATAGGAGTGTGATGACTGGGGGGAGAGAGAGAATCACATGTTCTTAGGGAAGGGCCGTGGCAGGTGGTACTCGTTAGCACCTCTTGTCTTCCACAGAGGCAGGTGAAAGGCAGGTGCGAGAGAGAGAGCGAGAGAAAGAGAGAGAATGAGAGACGGAGAGAGAAAACAATGAGAGAGAGCAGCGGGTTCTAGAAGTCTATTTCTGGGTCCAGAGCTCACACCCGTCAGCTCCTGACTGAGCCCAAAACAGAACCAGAAACTAGAACAAAAGTAAAAGACAGAACGGAACTTAAAGACCCAGTGCAGTCAAAAACATGATTTTACA